CATGGATTCAGTGAAAAGCCACCTTGTGGTGTATACTTCAAGAATTGGATTATCCTTGAAAGCAATGTGATTTTCATTGATCATGGCTTGAAAGAAGCTACATCTGGAATAGTGCTGAAGTACTTCCTCTACTGCTCTAGATGGTCATCAAAAAATATGCTCAGCTGATTATTGATAGGTCATATATTGAGATAGAGACATGCACTGATTTCCATTTTGACATGCTTCAACTAGGCTACAAATTACCTGCCCCCTGCCCTAGCTAGCGATATAAGGCCCCAGAAGTGCTGAGATGGAGCCTATTTGTTTAGCAAAATTTAAACTAGGCTTTTTCATCATATGAGGGCATCCATCTCTCAGGCTAGCTTGATGCTGTTCAACCAACCCATGAGCTTTTCACCATTGCCATGTTTGAATGATTGCAAATTACATAGGTTACCTATTTGGATGAGCTGCAGAAGAAGGTTAAGTATTTTAGCAGAGATGGAATCAGGCTTGCCAGAGTTGAGATGTGTTATCAAAGAAGGGACTATGTGTGATTGTAATTGATCATGGCTTAGAAGATGCTACATCTAGAATAGGGCTGAAGTAAACACTTGCCTTGGGGTTCTAGAGGTATTCTTTCATATTCAAAAGCAGTGTATTTGTTATTGATGATGATCTGTTCAATAGCTGTCAAAAATTGGTTCAACACTTAGTTGGGATCTTGCCAATGACTGATTGAGATCTTCCTGATGACTGGACCCATTCTGTATGAAAACTGATGCAAATATGTTTCACATAAACTTGAAAACTATTTGAAAAATACTCAAAAAGAATTCAAGATGTTGGACACACTGGGCTGCCAGTGACTAGTGATTGGGGCTGAGATTGATCAGTTTATTCACTGAAGCTCAAGAATACTTCACATTCCAAGGCAAGTGACTTCAATAGATTACCAATTGTTTCACCAGGGTTCAAGCTGATCTTGCCAAAATTGACAAAATCAGTAAATAGAAGTCTCCCATCTGTGAAGATATCCAAGAAATGGTTTGGAAAAGAGCCAACCCTGTTTTCCCTGGCTCGGCAGGTTTATCTCATCTTTATCTTTTGTTTAGCTCTCCAAATGACTTGACCATAAAGTTCCAGCTTTATTTAATGCTATAATAGCAGTACACAAACTGGCACACCAAACCTGAAAACCCATGGACAAAACCCATGACAACCCAATTGTTTTTGGGGTTTTTTCCATTGGTTTTCCGCTTCCCCGTTGGACAAAACCCAAAAAACAATTGGGTTGTCATGGGCTTTTTCCATGGGTTTTTAGTTTGGGTTTTCATGTTTGTGGACCGCTAATCAATTATCATATTCCCACTCCATCCAATTATATCATCACACTATTTCCAGGACCCCCATTAGTCCCAATTCATTTGCCTTACCTATGAGACCAGAGCCTGCAAGTTCTGAAATATTTTCTTTGAGAGACAGGTGTGTTGTACCTCAAGAGGCATGTGATTATGATAATTCAACATGATTTAAATTATACAAACAATTATGTACCTTGTTTGTCTGTTTCCCAATTTTGTGGTGGATGTACTTACACTATAAATTCCAAGTATAAAACATCACTGCAATTTTGCACTCAGGAGGCCCCCTTCTTATTTGAAGCCTCACTCCAAAGTTCAAAAATCCCTTTACAACATTTGATGCCTCTTGAATCAGTTTTTTTTGGAAAAACCATCTTGTTTAGGTCTTCAAAAACGGGGTATCTCAAAAACATGTGTTTTGCTAGGCAATGAATAGAATGGGGTCCTATTCTGAGGGCTTTCAACTCATTTTTGAAGACCAATCCTTGTGTTGGTTACATTTCAGTGTGCCAAATTGCCAATAGTGTACATGATCTTTGAGGTTTAGATGACAAAATCTGCTCGCCATGTATAAGGCAAACATAATGATAATAAATAAACACCCAGCACCCATCTTGTTCAGGACAAAATTAGACAGACCAAAGAAAAAATGATCAAAATCTATGTAATACTATTCATTTTATAAAGCAATTTTAATCAGACAGACCAGCAAGAAAATGAATGAAATTCCCAAGTAAGGATTCATTTTATGAAGCAATTCTATTGAGTTTCTAAATGTTGATTGCAAGCTTACAAATAAGGGGCAGTGGTGTAGTTTCTGAAAGAGATCAGTGGCTATAAAAGGCCTCAAGTCATCACTTTGGTGGAGTTCAAGAGCAAATAGTCTGCTTTATAATATATGTCAAACCAAGCCTGTTCTCATTGCATCTGAGCCTTCATGTTGTTAAAGATGTTTTTCGATGAGCTCATTCCTGGGGAGTATGCTGGTAAATAAACCAGAAGCACACTGAAATTTTCAGAGCTGTTTGATCCAACCACTGTGGTGTATACAGGCATTGTCCAACACTAGGACTGAGTTGACTGTTGAATAGCAATTCATAATGGGGAGCCGGAATAGGAATAAAACAGAAGTGAGAGAGGTGAAAAAAGTAGGTGATCAAACATAAGCAGGAAACTCATCAAGTTATGGGCCAGAAACAGTTTGACATGGACCCTTTCAACATGCCCATTGATGACTGTTCCTGAAATCATCCCTTGCCTGCTCACTTCTGGAAGGATGGTCCATTTATCTTGATCTTTTTGTTGGATTTGGCAAACAATTTTTGTCCCTTTTTGCGCTCAACTTTTCTCTTGAACCAAGTCATGCCCAACAACACCAGATTCATCTGAGATACATAGGCCTATGTTTGATCAGATTGCTGAAGATAAAATGAACATGAATGAGAGAAACTTCATACCAATGAAAACAAAGAAGTTGGGTGGGATATTGCCCACTCTCATCATAAACTCCATTCAAGACTGGATACACTGTGTCCAATGTACTCCTCAAAATACCACATGCATGGAAAGGCCCAAGCATCAATGTAGCTTGCCACCAATGGTGACTTGAGAATCCAAGACCTTGATGCTGCGGAACAGTTCATGTTGCGACTTGTTGATGTAGATGGAGGGAGAGCCGTTGACCAATTCACCAAGTACCCCAAGTCCAAGAGTTGACAAGGGCACCAAGAGGTCCGGTGTTCTCAAGGGTCATGAAGCACCTTGTTTGTACGTCTGTAAAGAGTTTTCCAATTCCATAGCAAGGCAGCAGATATCTTTGTGCAAAGGGTTGTGTTGATCATGTGGAGTTTGAAACTGTCCAAGGATATTGGGTGGCCAGAAGTTTGATATCTTCGTAGTAAGATTGAAAAACCCATGACAGGGTCTAAAAAAGTGAGATTGGAATGGATGGAAGGGATGGATCAAGGTCATTTTTGGGGGGGAAGACAATGGTGGTTCACAAATCAACCACCAAGCATCTCTCTTTTGTGATCCTGTATCCAAGGTTTGGATTAATACATGACCGTAGCCACCAAAGATTTGGGGTTATGAGGCTATCCAAAAACACCTCACCAACACTGTGCATGGGCCACAAGGGCAAATTTTTACTTTGGTTGTATGTTCATGCTTTTTGCATGTTCAACATTTTGAAAAATTTGAAAGAATAAAACATTTACTCTAGCCTGGGTGGGCAGGTGCTTAATGTTTTTTTATAGTTGAGAAATACTGTTGATAAAAACTTTAGGATAATCAAAATGGATGAAATTTTATTGTTTGAATTTTTGAATTTTTAGAATGGAAAAAATGAATTGGAAATCAGAGAATTTCTCTTTTTGAAAACATCCTATGCCTTTAATTCCATCTAGAAATTTGAGAAAGGTCAATATTCTTTGATGAGATGGACTGCAAGCTTTCTCGTCTATTTAGGAATGAAGGATGATGCGTACCCGACGACTATGTATTATCCGAAAGTCTGCTCGCGAGTCCGACCCATTCCCGTATGTCAATCACTTACCGACTCCCAGTAGTGAGTCGGTCGCAAAAAGCCGAAGCTTATGCAAACTTAACTAAGTCCCAAGAGTTGGTGGTTAGGTCCAGGTTGGGACTTAGTTAAGCTTGAAGCTTATGCATCAAATCTCCACCAAGTCCCCTCTTGGAGGAACAAGCCAGACTGCGAGCGAAGAATGGTACCGAGGCACAACTCAAGATCGTGATGAATCATTGTGAAACCATGTAAGCCGGTCGCGATTCTAGGTGCTTGTTACTTCTCGGCCAGCTCTGACTCAGCTACGACCAGATGAGTCAAAGATCCTGGGGAGTATGACTGTGGCCGAGCATAAACTGATCTTTCATATAGTCACAGGTCTTGATGCCTAGTAGTAGTAGTAGAACCGCGGCATTGTTCGATTGGCCTGCGGTGACTGCACGAGATGACATTCCACCAGGAGCTGGTCGAAATGTTCGTTCAGTGGTGGCAAATGGGACACACATACCAAAGAGTAGTACTTTCTCATTCGCCCTCGAGGTGCATGTATGCTCCACCACGATTTATCTTGTTGTCGTTGAGTGTCAGAGACATTCAGATAGCAATCAGTGCCTCTTTATCATCTGTGTACTCTTTGTTACCCAAGTATTTATATTCTTACTCTGTTCTATGTCTAAGTTCATATCGTTGTTCACCCGGAAGCAGGCCTCCGGACATTTGTACCCTCAGTGGTCAGCGTCGTATCCAGCTGAGAAACCTCAAGTGTTAGTCGCAAATGAAGATGAAAATGAGGATATCAAGACAATTCCTTCACCGCATCTCGACCAGCAGTACGCAGACCAATATATATTTGCAAGGTGAAGCCTCATTTCCCGTCTCTTGCCCTTGCGGTTCCCCATTGGAGATCCTCATCATCAATGCTCACCATTGACCAAATTGCAGTATTAAGTACCATGCTGAGTCAGCTAAACGAGGCAAAACGTATCGTAAAATGGATCCACGACAGTATCTCAGGAAATCAGAATCCTTGCTGTCTCAGTTTCAAGGTATTGTCAAGCTTTCCCTATCTGTCTTCTATCCGCATACTGATACGCACTTCGGGATGGGGCTTTACAGTCATAACACCGCGCGATTGGCACACGATGTCCACAGAAGATCTCTTCCAACGGTTGGACAGCAACCCTCTCGGTCTCACTCAAGACCAGGTCAACAGCCGATTGCTAAAAGGCCGCAACTCTTTCCAGCCTAGACGCCTATCGCTTTTTTCCAAAGCTTTTAGCTGTGTGTTTGGAGGCTTTGGATCCCTCATCTTCGTTTCTGCCATTCTCAGCTTCCTCAGCTGGTGAGTTCATCGCTCGTGCTTTCACCGGTCTGTCACGCAGATACTGAAGTCAATCCTCCCAGGAAACCATTTGGAAATGATCAGGCTGTATGTAACCAATATTGCATCCATCCTACCTTCAAAAAGTAAAGCCTTGACGTGCCTGCTTCCCAACACAGCACCCTACGGCCAAATTGGGTCTAGGTATAGTCTTGCTCATAATCCTTTTGGTTCAAGCATGTTTCAAGGCGTGGCAGCTTCGCATCACTGGTCGAGCCATGAGGTCGATTACTGACCATGTCGGCAATGAGACATCCGTATTGAGAGACGGAGGTAGTTGCACGATTCCATCAGAGGAGCTCGTTCCTGGAGACTTGGTCAAAGTGGGTAGTTTCAGTCACTCTCCCCTTCACGTTCATCGACTTACACTTTGATCACGCTGCTGCAGATAAGTACTGGTTCAAGAATACCCGCCGACATGCGCCTGATTCTGGCCTCATCAGATCTAACCTTCGATCGCACTATGCTCACCGGTGAAAGCAATCTGATCGTTGGAACAACAGATGTATCTATCGGAGATGACTATGAAGCCCATAATATGGCTCTCCAAGGTAAATTTGCCGGTCTCTGTTGAGTATAAACTTATCAAAAGCTTACCCACGTCTCCGTTGTCCAGGAACTCTTTGCACCAGCGGAAATGGCGTAGGTATACTCGTCGATACTGGGGCAGATACGGTCTTTGGAAGTATTGCAATGCTGGTATCATTACAGAAAAATCGCATGACACTCTTGGAAAAAGAAATCAGACGTTTTGTCATGTGAGTGCCCGCAACCTCGATTCACAGCAATCTTTACGCTCATACACATACAACAGCATTATTTGTCTTCTGGCCGTGTCCGTCGCAGTCCTTTGGATAGTACTTTGGGCTGGATGGCTACGAACGCAGTATCCCAAATTCATGTCTGCGTCAGACTTATTGGTCAACATCGTCTCTCTTATGGTCGCTTTCATTCCAGAGGTAGGGATACATTTCACAAATCGAAAATTTTGTTGTAGTTCACTAACATGAAACATCACCCAGGGCTTACCAATATGTATCACTCTCGGATTAACTATCCTTTCACGACAACTAGCTGCCAAACAGGTGGGCAACCCAGCTTCTTCATTCCAATTGCACATTCTCTAACTATCTCATATGATGAACTAGATCCTATGCAAATCGCTGTCCACTGTTGAAACTCTTGGGACTGTTGAGTGAGTCCATCATCAGACCTTTACTTTGTATAGTGGATTCAGCTAAATGGCTTCCCAAATCTAGCGTTGTCCTTTCAGACAAGACCGGAACACTGACATCAGGTCGCATGAAAGTGACGGATGTTGTGATTGGGAAGAAGATCATCTCTACATCGGACTTACGCGGACATTGTCTCGTCAGCTACGGAAAGGACGTCTCGCCTTTGGGCAAGGTAGCAAATGATCTCGCTGCGATCGCTGCGGTCTGTAACGGCTCTCGTTACATCGATGCTGAGCCATTATTGGACGACGAGGAAGGAAAATCTCCCATTAATGGAAATTCAACGGGTAATCTTAATTATCTCAGCACCGGCCGTCCGATGATGTCTAAGGAGTCTTTGCCTTTCAGATGCTTCTTTGATCAGGTATGCCCATCTGTTCGGACCCGTCAGTCAGTATCAAGAGCAGTGGATCGAAGTCTTCGACCTCGCTTTCAATTCAGGTAAATCACACCCCTTCATTTGCCTAACATCATATATAACTGACACAAATTCGCAACAGACATCAAGTTCTGCGCGAAGCTTCTGAAGCCACGACTCACCTCACAGGCGCCGGCTGGTGTTCAAAGTGACCCCAACTTCACATCCGAGAGCGTGTCTATATTTGCCAAAGGGGTAAGTCTTCGCCATATTCATGTTATTTACAGATACTGATGGCCTCATCGTGTGAAGGCTCCTGAAATACTTTTACAACGCTGCACACACATATGTCGCCCGAACGGAAGTGTGGAACCACTCAATTCTGCAACCATGGATTCCTTAATCAAGACTCAAGAGGCAAATGCTGCTGTAGGAAGCAGAGTCATCATGTTGGTGCGCAAGACTTTTCCCATTCTAGATTTGTACAGTGACATACCAGCCGGGAAGTCTTTATCGGACCTTGTTGTGGACATGACCGTCGTCGGGCTCTTAGTCCTCTCTGACCCACCCAAGCATGATGCAGGCAAGACTGTGAGATTTGTTTGTTTGTTTCACTGTATGCATACATCTAACATGATTCCATTTGCTCGTAGGTGGGAATATGTCGCCGAGCTGGAATGAGGTTTTTGGTCGTGACCGGGGATTTAGGCCAAACAGCGTTGGTTCACTCTCTCTCTCCTCTTTGTTACACATCACTTATATATCTTTCATATTAGAAAATTCGTCGGCAAAAGTGTTGGCGCCCTCACAGTCGAACCAGTTGGACTGAAAGACCTCAAAGCAGATATTCCTATTGAGCTTGTTGCACCCTATCAGCCCAAGCCAGCCTCGCAACTGCGTGCCATTTGCTTGACGGGAACAGAGCTAACGGTGATGAATGAATCCCAATGGAAGCAATGTATTGGTTTCGACGAGATCATCTTTTCTCGCACCACTCCGCAACAAAAACTGGAAATTGTTCGCAGGTTTCAAGACAAGTACATGATCATTCACTCTCTTTCGAACTTAAACCAGGTATCCTTACAAACAATGACCAGTTATACATCATTACATCATCAAGCGGTCACGTCTGTGCTGTCACAGGAGATGGAGGTCAGAATAATTACTCCCCCTCAACATTCGCATGAAAGCCCATTACAGTGATACTCACATCCGCACTCTTGAATGACTGCAGTGAACGATGCAACCGCTTTGAAAGCTGCTGACATAGGGATCGCCATGGGATCCGGAAGTGAAGTAGCTATGGAGGTTAGTCACATGAAATATCGATTCATGTTATGGACAATCTAACCTCATTTATGCACCCTAGGCTGCAGATCTTGTTTTGTTGAATGGTCAGTTCGAAATCCGATTTCTAAGACACAATCATACCACAACAGTCTAATGGGCAAACGCGTCCTGGCAGATTTTGGAAGCGTTGTCACAGCTACTCTCTATGGAAGGCTTTGTTTCGAAAATCTGAAGAAACTGACCTTGTACTTGCGTTCGTCGTTTTTGTATTCTAACATCATACTCCCGTACTGACAAACCAAATTATCGCGATTATGTACAGTTCCTTCCGGAAGTTTTAGCGAGTTGATCCCAATGCTACTTGTCCTCTGTGCAGGTCTTCCAGACCTTCTCAATCCGATCCAAATGATAATCATCTGTTTGTTTCATTCCACACAAATACTTTTCACATTGATTCTGGTGTAGCGAAAATTAACACAGATTCGTATTCATCAGGTATAGGAACAGATGTCCTACCAGCTCTTGCTCTCATTTTTGAGCAACCGGAAAAAGATTTGCTCTTAAAAGCACCAAGGAAACAAGCAAAGGAAAAATTGATTGATTTCAAGACTCTGGCTCATGCATACATGTTGTTGGGTCTTTTTCAATCCATATTTTCACTGGTAAATCATTCTATCCTATAAGGTGCCTCCTGTTGACCTGAAGAATGTACTAATTACTTTCCTTTTTAGGTCATCGCGTTTCACTTTGGATTCTATCAACGAGGCGTCAATCTGTCTGACCTACTTTTCTCCTAGTAAGTAGCTTTTTTTCTTCTTGAAAACTTCACTCATCATTCATAATGGTTCTCCTTCGCCTGTGCCAATTTTTTTAGTGGACGAGCCACGGTCGACGCAGATCTGCTAGAAGAGGCAACTAAGGCCGCACAGTCTATCTATTTCTTCAGCATCATCTTTTCTCAATGGGGTAAGTATCAGAAATTGATTATCAAAACTTGATGCAAATCTAACATGCTCTTGTTCAGGGACTTTACTTTCCACGAGGACACGAAGGTTATCGATCATCAATCATTTTCCTGGATCACAAGGAGCGGGAAAAAACCTCTTCATCTTCCCTGCAATGTTCATCAGTCCTATCTTGGCTTTCATAATCTCCTTTATACCTTTCTTTCAAGAAACTTTGGGAACTAGACGGATTGGTTATGAAAGTATTCTTGCTCCCAGTAAGTCTCATGGGACCTACTCATTAAACCCATATTGAAGAAAGCTGACATTATCAACTTAGTTTCTGTTTCACTTTTAGTCTTGCTTATTGATGAGCTTAGGAAGTGGGGCGTAAGGCATCATCCGAACTCTTTACTTGCTAAGATTGCTTGGTAAAATCATAAAAAACTTACAGTAGTGTATAACTTATATCCTTAATTGCAAACCAACACTATAATCACTTAATTATGCAGTAATAAAATAAATAACTTGATAATTGACATCAGATTGGGTCATATTCTAAAGTACTACCTGAAATCCTTAATCTAATACAAATTTACCAATTCCCAATAGAGCCATTTGATCAATTCCTTTTTCATCCTTTGGTCTTGACTCTTTAAGGTAAAGCTAACTTGTCTTTGAGTGGTCATGGATATGTGATTGCTCAAAGACATGGTATACTCTTGCTCAGACTAAGACAACAAAGGGGCCACTTTGCGGTTTTTTTTTGGAAATATAGCCGCACAATCTTTCAGGTATACTTCAATCCATGCACTGAAAAAATGTTGTCACGGTCGGTGCGTTCTCTTAAAGTCAGCGCTATTCCACCTTGCGCTATGCGTCCTTTCACATTGGCTACCGGGCTGTATGTAGTGGCAGCCTGCCAGTGCTAGCCCGGGGCCAAATGTAGTGACGCACGGACACAAACCTTGAGGGTGCCTTTCTTCAGTGTCACGGTTCAGCCTCAACCACGTCATCAACTTTTTACCATCCCATCAATCAACTTTCTATATCATGAGAACTTCAACCTATCTCCTCAGCATCAAAGAACTAATCACTTCTCAATCATATCATCACCATCACCATCATCATCATCATCATATATTTCTCTCTATCTCCTAATCTCATTCTATACTGTCAGTCTTCTCTTTCTTTGTCTTTTCAAACCTAGCCATTCAGCTCACCTTGCCTGTTCGCTCTTTCTCATCACAGTCAAGTCTTAATCACTCTAATCTTCATAACCTTCTGCTTGTATGATTAGACCTCACTTTCAATCAGAAATCGCCAACGACTCACTGGGTCCTTCTACTTCAAAACCCCCTCGATTGCCCATTTCACATCGGCGAAAGTCTTCATCACAGCGTCCTGTTCCATTGGACCTTCAAAAGGGAACGGTTCTTAAAGAAAACGATGAACGAGCAGCTCACTCTCTACAATCGAACCATTCAAAGTCTTCTACTACTAATACAGCTCAAGAGTCTCGCGTTCGGAAACTTACATCTGCTACTCTGAGAATCCCTGTTCAACCTGGACACTGTGTGGTCATCGGACGAAAACCTAATATCTTCAATGTTCCTAGCGAGGTGGATGTTAAGGTCACACCTGTTACTGCCATCAAACTTCCCGGAACTTTTACCCATGCCTCTCGCACACATGTCTGGTGTACACTTATTGAACCACCTCTGGGTGGCCTAAACCTGAGAATTGTAGTAATGGGTCAAAATGGTTTAAAGGTAGACGATGAAAGGTTTCCTCAAGGTGCGAGTCGTGGGGTTGAATTACCAAATGAAGAAGGAGAACAAGTCGAATTGGGTTTTTGGGGTGGTAAAAGAGTTGAATGTTATGTGAAATTAGGGGAAAAACCAGTTCTACTCACTCGTCCAAGAACTTCTACTATTGCTCGTTTTGGTCTCATTGCATCTGAAAAATTTGATGAACCTCGGATTGGAAAACGAAAGAGTCGAAATAGCTGTCCTATCGGTATCAATACTGGACTTCAGTTTCCTGTGTCTCATTCACGTACGCCTTCTGGTAGTAATCTACTACCGCGCAGTGCAACCTCTGAACTCGAACCTTCATCACGTAATAAACCTACCTCTTTCAAGTGAGCAGGTCTTTTTTGCAAGCTCCGATTCCTCTCGCTCTGAACCTTCCATTTCTCGCCTATACGAATCCATGCATGAATAAGGTTAGATCACGGCTTTAAATCATCAAGTGCAGTCACAATACCCTTCATCAACATTTCCAATCACATCTTTCTTGATATCTAAATTTTACTTTTGTATTTCTTTCAACATTACCCAAACGCAATTTTTAATCACCCAATATGTAATATTTATTAAAATCTGTATGAGCATTATCTAGTTGGTCTTTCTTTCCTACTAATCCCAAATTTTCAATATCTTGCTCATGGTTTATCTAATCCTAAGTGAGGATTTAATAACAATTGAAGTTGGAGAATCAGAATGGTTCAAGAAATGAGATGAACATCCTGAGATGTTATGACATTCATTTGAGTATCAATTTTTGTCATCATCTAACCGTGTCAAAAGTCACAGAATTCCTAACAAGTTTTGTGTGAATTGAGATCCTTTCCAATTTCAAGTTACACAGCAACCACTGAAAGAAACAGGGAACTGAAACACATCTCTCACTATGCCAATCTGCACCGTGCACACTGCTATGAGTAAATGAATATAGGAGGTTCAATTCGAGTTTCTAAAGACTTTGGTCAGAGTTTGACCAAGGAAAAGGTTGCTACCCTACCGGTGAAGAAACCCCCTATATGATGATCTTGACGAAGAGCGAGTGGTTTCAGCGTAGCTTTGAAGGTATGCCTGATAAAGGTCCGAAGCAGTATCCTTTTGTAAGCCAAGTTTAGTAGGTAAGAGCTATCCGAGCCTCGAGGCCATGTAGTGTACGTCATTATTTTCGCTACGACCTGTTCTACAGCCATTCCGATATTGCTTGTCGCTCCGGTTTGAAAAAGAAAAAGTGAGACCTAAGTTTTTACCTGTTTTTACTCAATAAAACTTCAAACTTGGCTGTAATTCAAGGCAATACAGCCAAATTCCAGGTTTTAGCCGGTTAAAACTTAGGTTTCAAGCTCACAAACTTTTTCTTTTTCAAACAGGTGCGACAAGCAATATCGGAATGGCTGTATGTACCTTGAGCGAAGAGTTTTGTAGGTCTTATCTAGTCGAATAACGAGTTCTATTTGTTGGTAACCAAAGGAGAGATTCCCTCGTTAAAGGGTGAAAAACTTAAATGTGATTCATTAGCTGGCTTCATTGGAAGTCAAACATGTCAGACTCTCTTTTGGTTTTTGATGCAGGGAAGCATTAAAACTTTTGCCAAAGAATCGGAGTCGCTGACAAGTTGACGAATATGGCGATGTCTTGTCAGTAGGCTAAGACACTCTCGGTTTGCTCAAGTTTTTGGTATATAAGGACACCATTTTTTCAGAAAAAAACATGTTCTCTCCCTCATCATCCTTCAAGAGCTTCATCATTGTAGACACACTTGCTTCCTGATCACCTTCATATATATATATTATTTAATTTCTTTGAAAAATCTTTAAGATTCAAAGAAATTATTTAATATTTATCTTTTAAAATTTAGATTTGATTGAATTCCTGGAGATTCCATTTGACTTTTATTTTATCATTTATCCTTAGACCTTTTAGAATATAAACCTATCAAGACATACAGGAGCAATGGATACATTTCATCTACTTGACATTCTACGTACCAAATCTAACAATTATGCTCCTATGAAAATGGGTGTATTATTTCTATACGGTGCCATCTTATGTTCTTCAAGCCCAATTCCTAGTCTATCAACTCCGTTTGGAGGATCACCTGCTTCTACTACTCCTGACCTAAGCGTTACCAATCCTCAAGGGACAACTCAAGCTGTCAAAGGCTATACCAATGTAGAGACCAAGCCATTCAATCCAAGTAGTTCAAGTGATAAAACAAATTCAGATCTTACCACCCTAGCAGGTATGCCGTTGTCTTGTCATGAAACCATTTTTGCCTTGCAAAGTTGAGATACTAACAAGATTCATCCGTACTTTTAAACTTTATTTTTTTCCTTCCATAAGTTGATGGACTCCAAACCGGAAAATCACCAAACCTGACATCCTCATACTCAACCCCAGCCACACCAGTAGGATTAGGGATAGGACCAGAAGTAATAACTGGAACTGAATCTGGACCAAAGTCACAATTAGAATTGGGTTTGGGGTTGGGGTTGGGTTTAGGATTAGGGTTATCTGGATCTGGGTCAGGATCAGGAACATCCAATCCCATGACTGGCTCACTAGGTGATACTTTTAGCAAACTTGCAAGTTTGGTTGAAGATATATTAGGTGGTAATTCCGTATCATCATCTGGAAATGGAAACCCTTCAACTCCATCTTGGTCTACATCAAATACTCGAGGTAATTATGGTTCAACCACTCTAGGAGGAAACCAAGGCGGAAGCAATTCATGTAATTGATTTTCTTTTGATCAATGATCAAAATCTAAACAAAACTGACTTTTTTGCTAATTCTCCTTCTTGTTGACCAAGCAGTAGGAAACTCGGGCTATGATCAGTTAGGATCAACTCCAACATACCACACTCAAACTTCAAATCCCTCCTTGAACAGTCTTTCAGGAACTACCTCTAACCCCTCAAACAGTCAATCAGGAAATCAATATAGCACATCAAACAGTCAATTAGGAAATCAATATGGCACGTCAAACAGTCAATCAGGAAATCAATATAGCACGTCAAACAGTCAATCAGGAACTCCATATACCCCATCAAGTATCACAGGACAACCAGATGCCACATCAAAAAATCCTTCATTACAGGTAGTATAAACAGTGGTGCATAGTGGTAGGCAGTAACAATAGGTATCACAATGAAGAAGGGAATCATGAATCATAGTGATGAGATCTTAGATTGAGATTGCTCAACAAAGCAAAACATGTGTTTTTTCAATTATTTCTATTGTAAGATGTACTAGAATCTATCAAAGTATGGTGGCTATATTGTAACTTTTATTTATTATCATGTATATATTTACTGAACTTCAACATACTTTGCTGGCTTTTTGCTATCTTTGTACCCTGAAAATGAAGTGGACATGTTCTATAAACTGCACACCTGCTAAAAAGCAGCTTGTCAAAGTGATCACAGCTATCATCTTGCAAAATGAGATCTTTAAGATTTTTGATCAAGTTCCTTGCTGAAATTTATCAGAGTTTTTGGATTTTGCATGATCATCAAGTCTCCTTTGATTTGATGACAGACCTCCCACTCCAGACCCCTCAGACCAGTATAGCTACAACCAGCTTTTGACAGTCACATATATGAAGCCAATGAATGATGAAACAAGGTTAGGGTACAAATTGGTACAAAGGCAAAATTAACAAGCAAACTCATCATTCTGGGATCAAGGATCAAGCTTTATACATGCACCTCAAAAACTGAACAAAATATTCATTGTCATATATAATTGACTGGGCTGAATTGACTCAACTTTACCCCAAAGATTCCAAGGGACAATTGCCATCTACAAGTCCCAATCTCTCTCCCCCTTTGGAACTGCTGTTCTCACCTCTACCTATCAACAATTGTGTCTGAGTTATTATTCCATACCTTGGAAATAAACCTAAAATCTTTGGATTGTACCTCTCCTTAGTCTAGGGTTTCAAATCATCAAGCATAATCACAATGTCCTTCCTCATCATTTCAAATCATATTTTTACAATCTATCAACTTTCATTTTGCAGTTTTTTTAACTTGACCCAACCATAATCTGGTACTTAATATTTGATATTTTGCAAAAGATATATGTCCATTAGCCTGTCTTCATGACTGATTCCAATCTTTAGCTAAATGTCTTGCTCATTTGCAACTCAATCCCGGGTGAGGATTTATCACAAATTGGAGTTGAAAAACCAGAAAGGATCATTAAATCAAATGGACATGCTGATCTGTTATCAGTTCCATATGAATATTGTTTTTTCACATGATTGCAGTATTAAAAGTTGCACCCCACTTAAGGAGTGATGCACCTGGATTTTCACCATGCCAAATTGCACTGTAGATACTCGAGTCTCCTGTAATTGGGAACCAAAGGCTATGTATACCGCGTTTAAATCATGTTACAACTTTTTGATATGAGTTTGACCAGGGAAAAGGACTGCTACCCTACCGGTGTAGAACACTTCTCTCTCTGATGTTCTTGATGAACAACTAGTGGTCTCAGGAGGAGGTTCGAAGGTGCCTCGATGCAAAGGTTCGAAACAGTGCCCTTCCATGAGGCAAATTCAGTATGTAAGAGCTATCCGAGTCCATGTGGTGGGTGTCATTTTGATCGCTACGACCTATTCGACCTCGAGCAAAGGATTATGTGGGTTTCATCAAGGCCGAAGAGCAAAATTAAACGATTATATTCCAACCTGATGACAAATTCCTTCGTTGAGGGTGAACAATTCTGAATACGATTAACTGGCTCGCTTCGTTGAAATTCGAACTTTTTGGTACACTTTCCATCAGTTTGTACGTCTTGATGCAAGGAGGCATCAAAACTTTTCCGAATAATGGGCTCGCTGACGAACTGAGGAATGTGGCGATGTGTGGTCGACGAGGATGGAACCTCATTGAGACGCTCTCGATTTGGTTTACTTTTTCGATTTATAAACACATCCCATTTTCAAAAAACTCATGTCCACTCCCTCATCATCTTCCGATATCTTGACCGTCTCAATTTCCCTTACTTTCTGATCACATCCATATTTATATTATTTGATTCCTTCAAAATCAATTAAGATTAAAAGAAATTATTCAATTTTTATCTTGAAAAAATATATTTGGTTGAAGTCCTGGTGATTTCATTCGTCCTCTATTTATTATTTATTATCGAACCTTGTAAGATATATATTTATCAGAACATTCAGAACCCATGGATACTTTCAATCCACTTGAAATTTTACGTACTAGATATACTACTCCCAAATATGCACCTTTGAAGATGGGTGTATTATCTCTATATGTTTCAATCTTATGTTCTTCGAGCCCGATTCCTAATAATTCAACTTCGCTGGGAGGTCTAGCTTCTTTGTCTACTTCAGGACCAAGTCTTTTGAATCCTCAAGGAATAAATCCATCTGCTCAAGGGTTTTCCACTGTAGAGACCAACATTAACGGAAAGAAAAGCAAATCTACTCAACCATTCAACTCGAGTACTCCAGTCAATCCTCAAATGAATGAAGAGATTACCCCCCAACCATGTATGAAGATTTCGGACCATAAATAACTTTTTGCCTGTCAAGAAAACCAAGACACTGACTCAATTCTTTTGTTCTTTATGAATGTTGTCTATTTTCCTTCCATAAGTTGATGGACTCGAAACTGAAAAGTCACCAGGTCTACCATCCTCACCTTCTGGATCAGGATCAGGAAATTACAATTCAATGACTGGGTCATTTGGTGATACCTTTGGTAACCTTGGAAAGTTGTTAGAAACTTTATTAGGCAGTAGTTCCATATCATTCCCAGGAAATGGGAAACCTTCAATTCAATCTTGGTCTACAGTAGAAACCAACATCAATGGAAAGAAAAATGTTACAAAGCATCATTATGATTCAAATAACCCAGGCGGAAAACAAGATGGGAGCAATTCACGTAATTAACTTTCGTTCAATCAAAAATCAAAAAATTCAACTAAACTGATTTTTTCCAAAAAAAATCCTTGTTGGTGACTAAGCAGCAGGAAGCTTGAGCATGGAACCAGATGGATCATATCCAACAAACTACCCTCAAGCTACAAACTCATCCTCAAACAGTCTATCAGGAACTCCATATACACCTTCAAACAGTCTTTCAGAAAGCTCATATTCCCCATCAAATAGCCTTTCAGAAATTCCGTATGGCTCGTCAAACTATCTTTCAGGAACTCCAGATTCACTTAACACTCATTCGGGAAGTCCCAATTCCCTATCAAACAGTCCCTCAGGATACAGCCCGAGTGGAGACGGTCCTGGTGGCAGTGGCAGCGATAAACTCGGAAGTGACGGTGGTGGACCCGGTGGACCGGCCGCTGGCTATGCGGCTGATATGAACAGTGGTAACGGTGGACTTGGAGGTAGTAAGAGTGACTATGAAGATGAAACAGAGAATGATCAATGATTGTACTGGAATTCGAGATTGAGGTTGCTTAACAAAGCAAAGACTACGTGTTTTTTGTGCCTGTCTTTTGTAAGATGTAGCGGAATCTGCTATCATGGCTAGATTGTGACTCTTATTATTTTGAACATATTGACACTTGAAATACATACTTGAAGTTTGACTGCCTGACTTTTCAACATCTTTAAACCCCAAAAATGAAGTGGACATGATATTCTCAAAAGTACATATGTACCTGCTACAAGGCATCCTGATATGGTGATTGCAGCTATTATCTTGCAAAAATCAAGGATCCATTCTCTTACGTGGGAGGCAAGTTCTATTGTTGAATAAGGCATAGAAGGAACTCTGATGCTTCCACAGTCAGAGTTAACTATTAACTTTGAGATGAAAAGTAAACTATTCCCTAACATGTTCTACTGCTTCTAGCTTACTGCCTTTCCTGAGGCCAATAAACCATGGGCGTGGTGTGGGGGTAGCTCCGTAGGAGGAGGGATCTAGTATGGGTGGAGACCACCCATCCTAGAACTCTTCCTACGGGGCAAGAACAGGCTAGAGAAGAATAGACTTCTCAACCCCCTGAACTCACGAAGCCTCGAGCCGTGAGCCTTGAGAAGTCAAACTCAAACGAACCCCCCCACCTCGAGCATAGTTTCACAATCTTACTGTCTCACTCAGTCATTTAATTAAAGGATACGGAGAATAGAATGACCTATGAATGTCATCCGCTCTATACTCTCAGCACCCTTGCTATTGAATTTCAACAAACTCTAAATCCACCACACTTACAGATCTCACATGTCAAACTCCAAATTAACAATCTATTAATCTGAACTCTCACATGTTCCGTAACCTTTCGAAAAGTTCTTTGATTGCATGAAGTCACTTCGGCATATCCACCTCGTGTCAACCTAACAACAGCATTAGAAGCATCCAACTGGGACAACCAACAAAAACTCCAAGAGGTATGATTTACTCGGACAACTCTATGAATCAGTTGTCGACGAAGTCATCTAACTGATTTACTATCAACCAATTGGCCGTCTCCTTCATTTCCTTGTTGCTAAACTTCCTCAAGTAGATCTTATACGCATCTGAAGCCCATCTTCCATGGATCTTCACCTCTTCACGAGTCGCCCCCAAATTCCATCAGAGGGAGGCACCACCAATCCGGAACGAGTGGCCGAACAAGAGTTGGTCTTTCTCAGATCTACACCCATTCCACAGTCTGCGTAGCTCCTTAATAACAAAACTCTTCTTGAAGAGGATGATTCTTCCATCTTCTTCACTTGCAAAACCAAACACCGGATCAGTTGACTTTCTAGTTCTGAAGTCAAAGAGTACTCGCAATGCTCTAACCGGATCGAGTTTGGATTTCTGTCGAGGCAGGTAGATGTATTGGATTTCACCATGCTTTGCTGTCTTCGCTCCATGAATCGCGATCTTGGCATAAGAATCCTTTGGTCCCCACAAGACATCTCCCCAAATCGGCATCCGCTTCCCTGGATCATCCGACACCAACTCTCCCAGTCGAGCGGTACCCCAAAAGGCTACCAGAGCAATCGCATAGATTACCGCGTCTTTCTCGTACGTTAAATCAACAAGTTCTCTTAAGATTGCTAAATCTGACACTAATACCGGTGGTTTTAACTTCTCTTGCGTCTTCAGTTCTTGTTCGACTGCTTCAGAGGCTCTAATCAATAGCGAAACCGTGTCGTCTTGATCCAAAGGATATGGTCTCCGATGGAATCGATGCCAAGCCTTCAACCCAGCGATGTAAGATTTCAAGGTAGTTGACTTGACCGATTCATCATCATCTACTAAGTTTTTGTTCTTTTTAGACGCCCAGACCACAAAGCCAAGGAGGACCTCCGACAAGATTGGTAGCAACAGAGTCTTATCCACCTTCTTTACATCTGTGAATCGCATCAGTTTTACTACCCCAGAGTTGTAATGTTTGAGGGTCCCATCTTTCCAAGAGCCTCTTAAGAAATGCTGCTGAATCACATCCGAATCCGATCTATCTATCCCAAATGCGTCTTTTTTGAAGGATCCGAAAGGTTTGGTTATTTTTGTTAAGTCATCTTCCTCCTTTTTTGATTTTTGACCGTCAGTTGACATGCTTGATCTCTTCTTCTTCCCCATCGTGCACTTAAGATGATTGGACGGGCGTAAATTGGAAAAGAAGGGGACAGAGATCTGTAGGAACCTCAATCAAAACTTCTTTCCACCAGAAAAGATTTTCTTCAAGGGTCCCCCTAGAGAGACTGTCCGCCTTGTTGTCTTTCGACGTTACACGTTTCTGCTTTATGTTCACAGCCCCCAACTACTGGTCACTGGCAGGCCAGTACATCCGATGTCTCCAAAATGTTTTCAACAAAACTTCAATTGGTTTTCAGCATAACATCCATCTGCTATCAAGATGTTTTGGGTCAGTTACCAGCAAAATATGTCATGCCACCAAAATTGAGATGATGTCATACAGCATCATAAACCTGTACAAACCTGCTCCTGTATTTCCCCACCAAGAATATATAGTTTATTAACCTTTGTGGCATAAATTGACTGAGTTATTGAGGTTTGAAAAAAAATCACAGACAAAAAATACTATTTTTGGACTATACCTAAGAATTGATTCTGGAATATCTTCCAGCTTCATCAATATACATACACAAAAAAATTGATATTCCTTTTGAAAACATGTTTCTCCACATTTTTGTCCCCTAGAACCTTCCTGTATGGGCAGTATTTCTATATGTAATTGTGGTGTGTACATGAGCAGTCAACAATTTGATTGATTCTTTGTTTCTAGGCAGAATATGGCAAAGTTTATGGCAGAAATTTTTGTCAAATACCATCTACATGTACATCAATCAAATTCAGAATGATTTTGGCAATATGTTCCCTCAAATTTTTTCTTGGGGCAAAGAACTTCAGAAAATCAAACTTGCAGACACATTCAGGAATTACATGTAGAAATACTGCCCATACAGGAAGGCTTTAGGGGACAAAAATGTGGAGAAACATGTTTTGAAAAGGAATATCAATTTTCTTGTGTATGTATATTGATGAAGCTGGAAGATATTCCAGAATCAATTCTTAGGTATAGTACAAAAATAGTATTTTTGTCCGTGATTTTTTTTTCAAACCTCAATAACTCAGTCAATTTATGTCACAAAGGTTAATAAACTATATATTCTTGGTGGGGAAATACAGGAGCAGGTTTGTACAGGTTTATGATGCTGTATGACATCATCTCAATTTTGGTGGTCTCCCAACCACTTCTCAACAAATTCTCAATCGATGGATGTTATCCATTTGATATCCATTTCATAACTTTCTCATAACTTGCTCATAACTTGCTAGGGTCGGTGGGAGGCACTGGCCTGCCAGTGACTTGTGATTGGGGGCTGTGGTTACAGCCCAGTTCCATAAGCAGTCTCTGTATAACTTTCCATTCCTCATTGACATCTTTATCTTTAGACTTTCGCTTACGGATTGCATGCTCTGTTGTCGTATTATCCGTGTGGACCCAGAACCGACGACCCTCTACCTTCGTTAACTTTGTCAGCACTAACAGCCCGAGGCGGATAGCTACGGTCTCCGCCCAAGCTATCCTGCGCTTGTGCTCTCGTCTGCCCAGTACTTCCCAAGTTTTCACGAACTTGAAGCAGGCCCAGAAATCGCCAACCAGCACTCCTATGCTGTAAAGTAAAGGACAAGGAGATTCATTAATACTTGAACTCTGACCCTTGTTCGGGACCAAACTCACCCAAAGGATGAGGCTGCGTCGCCCACCCACCCTACCTCTTAGGGAACCGGGTTTGGAACAATACGGCAAGCCTCAAATCCTTGTAAGCAATCCCTCCATTCCCTGAGATCTTCCAGAACGTCCACCGGCGCCTTCCTCTTTGCCTGATGGTTGTTCCAAGACTTCTTCCAGCAATACATGGAATTCAGGTATGCTGCCATGTGCGGAACTATATGGACAGTATGACACATCCTTCCTACAAACTTTTCCACCTGTGAGTACGACCAGGATTCTTCCTCCTTCAGGAATTCCTTCACTTGTCCTAGTCTCTCTTCTAACTTTTCCGCCGGGAGTCATACCGTATGGTGTCTTCCATTCCAGATAAACCCCAAGAATTTCTGCTCAATATCGAATTCGTGATTCTTCACCGGGTTTGTGTCTACTCCCATCGAGTTACTCAAACGGGTGACATCTTCTAGTGATTCTTTCTTTCCTGGTCGTCTGAACAGCAGGTTATCGTCTACCCATCGGAAGATGGCAGGGAACCCGAGTTCAACAATCATTATTTGTTTCCAAGTGTCTGCCGGTGCACCGAAAACACCGCAACTTGCCACCCCTCCAAAACCAACCGCTAGGACAATCCACAACCTACCTCAGAAGTCCATAATAATTAAGTACCTTCTCTGACTGTGGTGAACTGGCAGCTGCCTGTACGCCTTCGCCCAGTCAAACACCACCATTTCTCACTCCCCTGGATTCACTCTGAAGAACTTTGCGACCGTCTTGAAATCGTCCCAGGTGGTTTCATAGTTCCTCTTGTCGACAAAAGAGTTCACCAAAGGTATGTTTCCATCTTTCTTTGGATAAGAGAGATCGTTTATAAGCCTAACCAAACCGTCTCCATTCACCGCGCTACCCATCGGATTAGATCAAAAGAAACCGAATTCTTTGTACAACTCCTGGTGAGTAAAAGGACCAATGATACGACCTGCTGCATGTTCCTTAGCCAGCGTTTTCTCTATCTGGTCTTTCGCGTCTAGAGCAGAAGCATGATTCTCAGGTGTGAACCACTTCATGTCACCTACCGTATGCGGTGGGATGCCTAAGCAAAAACCGTCTACAAAGCCGTCTACAATGTAAGGTATGTCGTCTTTCAATCCTGCCCTCTCCATCAGAAACTTCCACTTTCCAATGACCATATTACACTTCACCCTTGCTGGCCATCTACTCGCATCCTTCACCTTAAATATCTTCCGGTCTTTCAGAGGTAACACTGGTTTCTTCCTCTCCTCATATTATGAATCATCCGAATCATCTGAGCATGCATCATTACCTTCCCTCTCTGCTCGCACTATCTTGGTTCAATGCTTCTTGATGATCCAAGTTCAGAACAACCTCCGCGAGTCCTCGGTTCACTGCTACAGCAAAAGTCTCAGGATGAACTAACGTTTCAACTTCTACGTCTGCAGCTCTCGCTTCTACGACTGCAGAAGGCGTTCCTCTCATCGATTCACTCAACCTCAACTGATCTAGAACCCAGATTCTGGGACCTTTTGGGCTGTCCTAAATCACCAGATGAAGACCAAGAAAATAGAACAGTTTTTATTTCAGGACTCATTCCACAATTTCATCACTGCCTACTACTTCTCTCGAGACAGGAAAACGTTCAAATCTTAGGATCAACATACAAGAGAATGACAAAACATGTGAACAAATTTACGCCCAGGCAAGAATTTAAACAATTTTGACACGCATAGGTGGATGAAGTCAAGACAACCGTAAACAATCCGAATCAAACCAATTCATCCATCGTCACACAGACCACTGGAGATTTCAAACCTGTCAGTAAGTCATCTCGATTGTCAATTTTTAAGACTGACTGCTCACCAAGGACCTCCATTTTGGGCTTTCTGCTTCCCTTTCTGGTTGCCTGGATGCTTATTAGCATGCTGTTGCCCATGGGCAACCCAATCCTGGCCGCTAGGACCTGCATACGCGTTGTTCTGCGGGTATTGCTGAGTGTACTGAGCATAATAGGGCACGTAAGGTTGTCCTCCTTGAAAGCCTTGAGATGACGAGTTTCTTTACTGAAACCCCCCTCCTCCATTTCCATGCCCCCTATTTCCACCCCTCTTTTTCTTGAATGGCTTCCCAGCCGAACCACTACCTCCACCTCCTCTTTCTCCATATTGATACTCTGAGCTCTGTTTGGAAGAACTAGCCACCGCTTGATGAGAAACAACTTGTTGGCCAGTATGAAAATCGAACCCATGCTTGGGTTGGCCCGGGGCATAATGATTTTCTTCATACTTCAAATCGCCCGCCGTCTCCGCATCCCAGCGAGCTCGTCGAACAGCTTCCTCTTGGACTCCTTCAGGTAAGAGTACTTTCTCCACCTTCTTCCCTTTCTTCCCGTTCTTCTTCTTCCGATAGACACATTTTGAACGTTTCCTGAAGATAAGTGACCTAATTGCTAGATGGTATCGCAACCCAATCATCCAACACTTGTACCTCACTAATAGGTTGTTTACTACTTCCTTGTGTTGACGGATATACTTCGCGTAAGCCTCGTGACCATACAACTCGCTAGCATATCTAGCCTCCAGGTCACACGCTAAGATGAACTCTCCGAAGGTCATTTGGCGCTCTAGGTCTCTTTCAGAAGTCGAACGGGAAGGTCGTTTCCTCTTCTTGGAGCCATCGTCGACGGTGGAGTTGTGCGCCTCAATGTATGATCTCTTGAACACCTACAGAGGGACATAACGTTTGAGCTTCTTAAATCCTCTGTCCCAATGCTCCGGGAGATCCGGCAGATCTAAACCCGGTATCTTGTTAAATTCAAATTCAACATTCTTTTTCAAAACCAATTCTGCTTCTTCGTCCGAGTCTGACGATGAGCTTGACAAGCTCGATGAACCGGAGGATGAGGAGGATGACCCTGAAGACTCTGACACTGAGTCTTGGCCTTCTTTGGATGACGACGAGGTTGAGCTCCCTGAGCTACTAGAGCTCGAAGAGGAAGAACTGTCGCTAGACTCGGAGGGTGAGCAAGGCCTCTTTCTCTTGTTCTTTCCTTTAGATCTCTTCGCTTCCTCTTCTTTCTTCTTCAACTCTTCTTCCTTAAGGGTACTCAAAGTAAGTATGTACGTGTACATACTTTTTGCTATATACTTTTTTTGGCGGGGAAGACGAGGCCAAAAGTATATTTTTTTCTTTGTCCCCGCCAAAAAACGTATGTAGCGAAAAGTATGTAGCGCTACATACTTTACTTTGAGTACCCTTCTTCTTTTTAAATTTCTTGAACAACTTATCTCTCTTCCTCTCCTCTTTCACCTCCAGCTTCTCCTTCTTCGACACCTCTTCCTGGTTTTTCTTTAACCTCTCTTCCTCTACCATCTCTTTCCGTAAAAGCAGTATAGCTTGCATGTCAAGATGGTCGATGGCGTCAACTAAGCGTTCTACTAGCGGGCGACCATCGTTCACCATTGTCGTTTGGCTCACGGACACGTCGAAACCGCTCTTCTGGGACTCCAGCGCCGTTATGGGGTTGCTGTTCGACGCCTTTGCTTGACCTAACGAGCCTACTAAAGTAGCGTACAGCCCAACACTCATTAGTAACCCACGACTTCGGACCCAAAGCTTAGTTTGAAGTTCAATCAAGTAACAGGAGGTAGTCGAAACTCAAGAATGTTATAAACTGGAAGCTTGACAATAATGAAAGGAATGGCTATTGGCTATCTACCATAAGCGCACATCGAAGACAACTAGCTATTACGTCTTCGCCAGCTCTATCTTTATCCTCAATCCAATCATTGAGTTAGGAAGATCCACTCTCATGGAGTATGTCTTCAGTCAAACGGGGAGCTCAGTAAGCTACTACCTCTCTTCCATATTCTGCATAAACCAACGCTGACCAACCTTCGAGGTTAAGCAGATCTAACCGGACACATCACGGTGGTTGGATTTGAATGGGGAGGAGCGAGACGCTGCTACTCTTGAGAGAGCGAGTGGATTGATATGCTCTAATGAGCCAGGGCTTGGAGCTCAATAGCTACAACAAGTCGTGTAGAGAGGAGCTAACCAGCTGCAGTACTCATCTCCCAGCTCATCATTGTTTTAACCCGATAAAGAGAACAGAGAAATGTATATATTCGACAAGGAAATCAAATCATGAATAAAGGGAAACTCACTGTGATCATTGTCAATCAGACCACCATAAAGCTCTTTCCTCCCTTTAATACTCCTATCTTCATTTAAAGGGCTTGACAAGGTAACTCCTTTCCCGCCTTTTGACTTCTTCTTGTTCTTCTTTGTACTCTTCTTCTTTCCTTTCCCAGCACCCTCCTTACCATCCTCCTCTACCGACGAGCTTATCTCATCCATCTCCCCTCCCGAGCCATCTCTATCCTCAAAACCACCTTCCTCCATCTCTTTCACCCCAGACCCTTCAACTCCATCATTCGAGTCCTCAATCTGATTTTTGAGGGGCGAGCCCGCAATAGTATTGCTTGACATCGGATCCCTTGACCCCGCTCTTCTTTCTCGTTCATCTGCTTGCTCCTTGAGTTTAAGCGCATGAATCATCTTCTTCTCCTCTTCTTGCCTTGCTAAATCTAACATCTTCTGTGACTTGAAGTTGACTAAAGAATTCTTGGGTTTAAGTTTCCTCCACATTCATTCGACGGACTTGACAAGAACAACCAAGTTTAGAAGATTAAGACTATGAGAGAGTGAGAAGGATTTAAGTAAAAAACTTTGAAAATTCTGAGAAAGAAGAGATTTGCAAAATATTCCTTGCCGGATTGACAAGATTCAGCCGGGGGAATGAATTTGGGAGCAAGTGGGAAGAGGAAAATTTTCCCACTATCCTCGTCTTCCAAATTCATCCTTGAAGGAGATGTCACATCTCCCACAAGTGTGAAATCCCCCTTCTGAATCTGTCACTCCACCTCCCCACTCGCGAATGGAACTCATTGTACCTTCGCAAGCTGTGGAACACTACCAAGAGTTTTGAGATTATAGATCAAGTGTTATGCTGATATATATCAGTTTTTTTCCTTTTACACGGTCCTTCAGACTCCTCCGATAGTAAATAAGAGTAGAATGGATAACCTGTGTATCAAGGTTATGAGTATTCCAGATCATAACCAGATCATACTACATAGTGAAGTCCAGATGCCGTGAACATCTTGTATTCAATTTTCAAAGGTGAATTATATGATTGGTGTCCAAGAACTTAAGGCAATTCAAAAATCGTCACTAAAAATTTACAAGCTGAGATTGTTTTTCCTGATTCTGATAATGTAGCCTGCGTTGAACGATCAATTGTTGTGACTTTCCCCTGTCTTGGGAGGCGGCCCTTGGGCATGAATGTCTTATCATTTCATGTGCAAAGTCGTATGTCAAAATGTGCGAAAGGGGTTTGAGAAGCTATGATAATGCACTCTAGATGTTCGACCAAAACGAGTTCCTTGATGTATATCACGTCCAGAACTTAGCTCAAGTAAACACCGATGCAGAAACCACAAAAAGGTTCTATAGACTATGTAATCCTCCGTGGTTCACATTATTGGGGCAGGGAGGCAGTGAAACCTTTCCGAACAATGAGGTCGCTGAGAATTGAATGAGACCATGTGATGTCGAGGACACAACTTCGTTGAAACAGTCAGCAATTGCTTCACATCTCTGTTATTGAAAATATAAACGAAAAGCTCAACACTCCTGTCTGCCCATCACCGATCAACACTTCCACTTCCTTACTTATCTTTTTGATCACGTCTGAGATATATTATTCGTATTTAACTATTATTTGAGGAAACTAGTTGTTATTTACTTTTGATTAGAATCCTTTGGATTCTTGAATACTTCATTTCAAAAATTCTATATACCTTGCAGGACATAAGGTAACAGTCATTTAAAATCATGGACACTGTACATTTATTTAAAAATCTACATACCATATCAATCCTATATACACCTATAAGGATAGGTATACTATTTCTATATGGTTTTATTTTGTGTTCTGCGAGTCCTATTCCTCAATCTGATGAATTGCTTTCAAGTTTGTTTGGAGTATCAAATTCTTCTCCTTCCAATTCGAGTCAAAAGCCTTCTGTCCAAGGACTCACTACTGTACAGACCAACATCAATGGAAAGAAAAATAACTCAACTCAACCTTTTAATCCAATTGATTCTCAAACAAATGGAGACGCTATACCTCAACTATGTATGAGATTTCCTCATCTGAAGTGCATCTTGATTGTGAAGAAAAGTAAGATACTGACTATCACACCTTTCAATCTCTACAAATTTTACTCATTCAATAGCTGGACTACAATTTGGTAACTTGGGATCATCAGGTCAAACCTCATCCTCAAGCTCAAAAAAATTGAATCCATGGAATATAGGTTTACCAGAAGGTTTTGGAAATCTAGGAAATATTTTAGGAGATTTACTTCCAAGTGGTTTTTCATTGGGCAATGGAAAACCTTCAATCCAGACTTGGTCTACAACAGAAACAAATATCAACGGAAAGAAAAATGTTACTAATCATCATTATGATTCAAATAATCCAGAAGGAAATATAGAAGATCTAAATTCATGTAATAAGTCTTCTTCTGATTAATTGATCAATCCATCAAGACTGACTCTTTGCAAGCTTTGGTTTTGTCCCTGAAGCAGCAGGGAACTCGGGCCTTGACCAAAACAAACCACTTACAACAAACCACAATCAAACTCAAGATACCACTTCAAAAACTCCTTCAGGATACGGTCCAGGTGGCGATGTTACAAGTGGAAGTACCAATGATGAAAACATTGGGTTCAACCTTGGCGGTGGAGGTGCAAGTAGTACCACCGGTTATACGGGTGATCAAAGCGGTGGAAGCCAAAACAGCGGTAGTGGTGGAGGTGGAAGTAGTGCTGATGGCTCTACGAGTGATCACAATGATGGACTTGATCACAAAAGTGGAGGTGGTGGAGGTGGTCCAGACCTGAGCAATAAAAACAATGAAATCGACCAAAACAGTGGTGGTGGTGGAAGTGGAGGTAGTCCTAGTGGCTACCAAAACGACCAAAACACTGGTAGCGGTGAAGGTGCAGGTCAAAGTGGGAATAGTACTACTGATAGCAGCAATGGAGGAAATGAAGAAGATGAATTGCAAGGTGAAGATTGCTCGGAAGAACAGGAGTAAACCCTTTTTTACTATTTCTATTCAGCGTTTGAGAAAATGACACTCTCAATGTCATGAAATTCTTGCAAATAGAATAAATTAACAATGTTTCTGCCAAAGTTTGTATGTATGTGCATACATTGCTATCTCCAAACGTAAATACATAGGTCTCTTTTCCTGTCACATTGGCCTTGAGACCTTTCTTAAAAGTCAATCCAACTATATATTTGTGGTACTCATAGTTTGATACTCAAAGCAAGATGTATGCATACATACTTTTTGCTACATACTTTTTTAGGCAGGGAAAACAAGGCCAAAAGTATAATTGTTTTTTTCTGCCAAAAAAAAGTATATATGCAAACTATATTGATGTACATATGTAGCTTTGAGTACCACAGTTATATAGTAACACATATATAGTTTTCTTATAAACTTTGTTGGGTTGTTTTTTGGTGGTGAAAAAAGCCCTATGTAGATTCTTTTGCCAGGTTGGTGCTGTAAAAAACAAACAAACAAACTATATACAAAAAATAGGACCCCGGAAAGCTCCCCCTGAACCAACCAACATCAACCCCGGATTTGAGAATTTTTATACCCAAAAATCACGGACTTTTGGAGCTTTCATACCAAATTGGTCGGTAACATTTCAGTACCCAAAGTGAGCCCCGGGCTACAACACTATGTTTTGGTGCCATTTAGTGCCAAAAATGTTGGTATGAAGATGAGATTTCAAAAATCATACCGGGCATGTCTGTAACATGAAAGACTAACAAACCATTTTCATACCAGTTTGGTCGGTAACATGACCAAATCTTGACCACTCAAATCATACCAAACACGTTGGTAGGTTCAAGGGGAGCTTTTTGGGGTCCTCAAAAGACTATATACAACTTTGAACCACAATTCACAATAGTCATGATCCCTTTCAATTATCAGCTAAATGACACTAGTGAAATATAAATTCACACCCCTTCTACATTGGTTTCTTGAAATCAGCCCTAGAAAGGAAATGAGGTATATGTTAGTCAAGAGGAGGATCAACTCAGGATATGACACATAATTACCACATCATCTTTCCTGGAGAGGTAATAGAAGGGAATCTGTCCTGTCCACTTCATGTTTGTTGCCATTCTAAAACAGGCTTTGCTTGAAAACAATCAGACCACCCATAATATATCTATGTAGCTCAATGAAAGCCCTGCCAAAAGTGCGTGTTCCCCAGAGCCTGCTGCAACATATTACATGTCAGCCCTGAGCCCTGTGTACAGGATCACGGACCAACAAACACACATATAAATATATGTAATAAATATGTAAAGATATGCAACTTGTTTAAAACCATAAGTATTACACCTCATTGCTCAGTATGAAGATTCACTTAAGAATTAAGACTTAACTATAACTCAATAGTAAAGTTGAAACCTAACCCATAGAAAAACACACCAATGTGCCCACCACAAGTTGATGCATAGGTCTTAGAGTATACAAACCCTTCCTCTTCACACTTTTGAAGAGGAACCAACTTCATATCATTACACAAATCCAATTCACAACTTACTGGATTTTATGTCAAGAATATTGAGTAAAGTGATACTGTTGTACTTTGATCATCTTAGTTCCATCTTATTCAGGTTCTTGTAGAACCTCAAGTGGTGTTCTGAGCTTGTGGGAATACCAGCTAACAGAACAAGCTTGGAACATACATAGGGCACCTCATCAGCAAGTCTAAAGTACCCTGTGGCACCTCTGATTCCTCAGAGTATAAAGTATTGCAGGCTTGTGAAGTGGTAATATCAACCCAAGCTCAGTAGGGTCTTCAGAAGGACCACTCAGCCATCCCACCAGCAATATATTGACTACTCTTCACCTTTCCAGTGAATAGTCAGCCCAACAATTACTGACTCCTCACATGACAGGAAGAAAGTGAGTGGCCAGGCATCAAAGAGACACCTGTGGGTTTGAACATATGTTAAACTATTTAGACCCTGTTGTACTTGGTCATGGTCTCAGACTTGGGGAAAATCTCATGTTTCTGATACATCACAGTGGAGGTGTTGTGAGACAACTGTTTGGCAGGTAGGTACTGATTCATCAGCAAATGGTCCATTAATTGATGGTGTCTATGATTGCATATAGAAACTAGGTCCTTGGCGCCCAGCCACCACATAGTACAGTGTCATGTTGATCTCAGTATTGATCCTGGCTGTGCGCTTGCCTCCAACATATTATTGGTATGCTTCACAGCTTGCTGCAACAGTGTTCCACATGAGAAACATAATATTTGTCTTGCAGGCCCTGACCAAAGTTGCCATGATATGGCATGAACTCTTGGTACGACATCAATCATGAAGAGGTTAATCAATACCAACACCTTTGCTCAACATCCTGTGCCTAGTGTACGGTTACCACATCTATAGTTAACTGTGAATTTGCTTGAACCAGAAATGCCTGTCCTGTCTTCTATCTGTCCACAAAAGATCAGCAAAATCCCATTGCCACTTCATTGCCTCCCCCAAGGCAAATATCCAACCTCAATGCCTTCTGCTGTCCTTAGGCTTGCCGCTTCATTTGCCTGTTCAAGTGGCATCTCTCACTTGCACAACCTTGTTTGTGAGCTTTCCTTCTGAATCTAAGCTAAAAAAGTCCCTCTTGACAAGCAAGACTGCAAAAGAGGTACTGAATATGGGTTATCCACATAATTTGGTGTATGAGCAAGAAACATTTGGCTGGGGATTTTTTTGACCCACCATACCTATTACCCTTCAAATAAACAATCTTTATACCAAAGAAGGGTCCTGTGTGCCTGCTCAACCTGCATAAATTCATGTATCTAGCTGTGTGTTTTGTTGCAATGATTGCAGAGAAATGAAAGGCTGGAGTTTGCAATTCAAAATCTCCTAGAAAGCTGTCAAACCTGTCAAAATCTCACACCAGGCAAGCTGAGACATTAAATGTGAACCCATTTTTTAGTCTTTCTGTAGTCTTCTGAAACCAAGAGAGAGGATCCAAAGAACCAGAATGTGTAGGTTGATCAGGTTCACAAGACCTTTTTTTAGTCCAAAGACTGTTAATCTGTAGGGTAAGAAGTTATGATGGGTTGGGAAATTCTACAACCACAAGTTTCTTGCTCACACACCATTGTTTGTGGGTGACCCATCAGTCCCTTGCAGACTTGCTTGCCAAGAGGGACTTTGTTAGATTAGGATCTCCTTGATCCACCTTTGCAAGATATACCTATTCATTCTTTTTGGTTCATTTCTGTTCCCTCCCTCCCAGGTCAAGGGCCATCGCAATATAATTGTACCACTTTGCTACTATACTGAAACCATAGTCATGAATGACAGTGGCTATTTGCCAAAGAGGCTCCTCATGGCTGATGATGAACTGGTTTTGAAGGATCAAGACAGACATCTTCTTTGATTGTTTTTGTTGCGTACATTGGTCCAAAGGACATCGCCAAAGTTTTCAAGGCGAACAGAAAAAGGGAGAAAAGAGGAAGGAGGAACAAAAAGAAAGAAAAACATTTGCATTGAATTTTTCTCAAGGATGAGGAAATCAAAAATTGTAAAGAGCAAGATTTTTAAAGTTCATAACACCATCATGGACAGATAATAACTACATTTGACTATATACACGGGTATTGAGGGTGTTATGCTGGTTTTGAAGGATGACAAACATCTTGTTTCATGTTTTTTGTTCCGTACATTGGTCCGTAGGACATTCTAAATCCGTATGCAACATCATCAAGGTTTGATCCATGGAAATTAGGCATCAGTAATAAGTTAAAACCATATAGATGATCACAATTAATTGAAGGTAAACTTACGCTGGTTAAGATGACGTTCTTTACACTTGTAAACCTCCTGGACGTATTGTGCGTTGGAAGTAAAACAAACTTTTGTTCAAAAACATCCAATCAACAGATCCCAACGTTTTCAAAGCATTAGTAAGCATTTCAATCTTTCAAGAACCGAAGTGAACAGTCCAGAGAGTTTTCTCTGAGCGGGTAAGATTCAAATTGACTCAACAAATAGGTCTGTTTGGTGAGGTATATGCATTCACTGACATACCCCCTGGACAATCAAATGATCCATTGGTGGTCAATTTCTGAGGTCCAACACAGTCCTTAGCAGCTATAAGATATTTCAACAAATCAAAACGTAAGCCCTCGGTTCTTTGATTCATTTAAATTTACTTATCGATTCAGAATTCAGAATGAGAAATGCCTTTCGTACAAGGTTTTTTGTTGTCTCCCCTATGACATGTTTTACAAAACCAGATGCGTCTGGTTCCTTGAGCATCTTCCGAAATACACTCTTCGATCGTAAGAGTTTTTGGAAGGAAAGTATTCAAATTATTTGGATCAGTAAGATAATCAATGAAAATCATACGATTGGTTTTGAGAAAAAAAAATGAAAATCTACATAGACAGAAGGAAACTTCTATTAGACTGACTATGTTGATTATTATTTATAGGTGTTGGTGTTTCCCAAGAATAGTTGCATTCTATAGAACCAGCATTTGCAAAGACGTGCGAGCCGAGATTTCCTAAGAGCAGAAACATGAGCGAAAGGAAAATCATAGGGTTTGTTTGTTTGTAGAACATATTTGACAGAACGAGATCAGGTGTTGAATTTCTGAAGTTTATTGATCAGATTGATAGCGGAAGAACAGGAAGAAAGATCTGATGAGTACGTAAGTTTAGAAGAGCAGTCTTATATGGGAGTCACACCTAAGTATCGACTCAGTCAGTTGCGGAAAAATAGATACCTTTAGGGTCCAAATTCCGGTTGACGAGACCCATGCGGATTACTCTGACTGAAATCACTGCTAAGCAAGACAAACCCTGCTGTACATGGTCGTTGCAAAAACAGATAGAAACAGACCCGGTAGGACCCTGGAATGCACCTATAGATTAGAAAAGCCGCCTTGTGAAAACCGATTTTCCCTAACCTACATCCGCCAATACAATTTTTGTCTTGGTTCGATATTTCACCTTATTTAACCGCATATCACAGTGTTGCAGGGTTGCCTGTTAATAATTATGAGCACTTTGCTCGAAGTGGAAAGCAATCACAGTTTGTTTGACTGATCCTGTAGCCACCACATCACAAATCACCTTTTGGTTGGTGAAGTTTGCACTTTATGGGCACTTTCTCAAAGTGGAAAGCCACGAGTCCCCGACTACATGAGACCTGTTTTGTTTGACAGATTCTGTGTTTGCCACATCACGCTTAGCTGTGATGATGGATCGGACTTGTTAGTATGTATCATCTTATTTACATTGACCGTATGGGGTTTCTTAGACTTGTGTGTTAAGGGGACCTTCACCGTGGCATTTTTTTTTTTACAAAACTTGCTCTTTCCTCAAAGAAATACCTTGAGTACGAAATAACATATCCCACAGTTTAAATGAGTAAATGATTGGGATAGAGTAACTTAACATAAGACCATCATCATTGAACGTTTGGACCTCTGGATCGCAAGCCACACGCTCAGCACACATGGGATTGGACAAACGGCAATGCATGTAATCCCACACATGTGGAATTCGCGAGCTTTCAAGTTAGAAATAAAAAGTAGCTGTCCCTGACCCTACATGAAAATGCAGCTTAAACAAAATTGAATTTTGAAAATACCATTGAATAGCTACACCTGAGAAATACATTGCAAGAGTTTTGAATTTTTCAAAAAAAAATTGAAGGGCTGGGAGGTCAAAGTGTTAAAAAATCTCTAGACACTTTTTAATCAACCTTGAACCCCGGCCAATAATTAGTGAGCACCACAGCTATAGTCTGTGAATGTGAGCAATTCATCAGCTCAAGAAGTTTGGTGTACCATATAACCTCACCGCCCATATTCAATTACTTACATATGATCAACAACAATTAAATCAACATCATTCTTCAAACCGAAAACATCCCTTCGCATCATCCCAATTCAGTAAAATTAATCAAAATTTTCTTGAGAATCTTATTACACTTCAAAGCCAATCTATTTTATTACAATTTTCACAAACCTTTCTATCCCGTTTTTATCCTAAACCCATCTAATATAATTAAGATATTAAATTGATGAATAATCCAAAAAAAAACCCACAAATCAATTTAATTAGAAACAGATGTATAAACCAAAATATAAGCTTCTACTGCTAATACATCTTTTAATCTCATAACAGTTACATTAGCATCACTAAAAGAAAAATACTAAAACCGAAGAAAGAAAACAAAAAGTCCAATCCAAAGAAAACAAAACACACATCAAAATTGATTAGTCTTTCCAATACTTTTAAAGATTTGAATTATAAAATAAATAAATTGGAATGGAAAATCAACAAACTAATTCGTCTTGACAAACAATCACTTGATAGTGTCCAGAAGTTGCACTTCCTTGATGACGAACCTAAACATCACAAAAGTCACAAAGAGTTAATTTCAAAGATTTCTTTTAGGTATTTCATCTTGACCGTTTCACATATCAAAGTGATCTTGCACAAAGAAAAGTGATGATAAGAAGATGTAAAGCCTACTTACAATACCTGTCAATTTATAAAAACTGTTGATCAAAATAAGTTTCAATCAAAATCAGTTCATTCGAGTACGAAATATTCAAAAAAACAGCCAAAAAGATACTTACTATCCAGATTGATCAGGATCATTTGGATTCCTAGGATTCACAGTATAAGGTTTCATATCTAACATAAGTGGAAACTGAACAAATCGATCTAATTTTACAGAATTACCTTGAACTTGATGTTCAAACCTCTAAGCAAAAGAGGGAGAGAGAGAAAAAAAATCAGCAAATGCAAAACCCCATCACAATTCTTTTTGATGACTTACTTTTAATTGAATACAAAGAATGTGGGGTAGTTTGGAAATTTTTAGTGATTTTGTCGTGACTGGTGATGCCATCTGACATTCAGCACAAGTATAACACTTCTCTTTCAAAGCTTCTTTAGTAGTAAAACTGCCAACGATCCATCCATCAATCAATCCAAAGCCAACAAAGGATCAATAAGAAGCTGTAGGACTAACCTTTCTAAACAATCTACTAATCTAAGTTGATCTAGATGAGTTAAATGAGCGATTTCGAGTGATAAATCTAAGATTGGATCGACTTTATGACTAGTGGAATTACAATTCCCACAAATCAATTCACTTTTCAATTCACATCTAAACAAAAGATGAATTGGACAATGACAAGTAGTATCTAATGGATTTGAACCTTGAGTGGTTGAATGAATTTGATTTAAACCTAATTAATTTAATGAACCGACCCATGAATTTCTAATCGGTTTAAAATTAATGATTGGTTGGAGAAATGACTTACAAGCTAATAAACATTCATGAGCATCACCTTCTTTGTACCCAGCAAAATCTTCACCATCACCTGAATTCATCCAAAGTGTATAAAGGAATCCAACCGGAGTGATTTCTTTAAACCGATCACCTGAAACTGTACCTTGAAGTAAATTCACTAATTCACATGTACAACATAATGGATCTTCGTCTGATGGATGTTGTCGATCTCGATTATGATGATCCATTAATAAATAACATTGGAATTCAGGGATACGTAGTAAGATTTGTAAGATCGCATTCATGTAACATGATTTTCCCAAGTTGGAGAAACCACGAGGAGCTAGATAGACCCAAAGTTAAAAGCTTAAAGATCAGTTGAAGGTCTGATGATCAAATGTAAGTTAGAAAGTCATGATGATAGACTTACGAAAGATATGTTGAGTAGTTCGACTTAGACAACTAGGTAAAGAAGGTTTCTTGATCGAGAATAACTTTTCTATAAAAAAATTAAGAAACCAAATCTGATTAGATGGTAGTAAGATATATGCGGAAAAAGAAACCGACTGACTACTAATCACTTTTAATTCTGAATCATCAGGTCTAATCACATCACCACAAACCAAACAAATAAACTCTCGACAAACCATATCAAGACCTATTCCAACCCCAAAAACAAACCCCATTCAATTAGTATTCCAAACCGCAATGCAAGAAACCAAATCAGAACCATACCAAGTAAACATTTCGAATTCTTTTTATGATGAAGTTCATAACACCTATTAAGTTTTGAATGATTGTTTGTAGTAGTATGATTTGTTTTTTTAAAATAACAAAAACAACCACCACAATTCAAACAAATCAATTTAATCCCAATTCCAGATTTACAAAAAGAACAAAACGAAATCAAATTAAAAGGTAATCTTGATCCAGATTCAATACATTCAAGTGAAACGTTCATATGTTTTATCAAATTTGATTCTTCTGTCCATAATGGTTTAGGTTGATGTTTACAATTCGTGGGTTCAGTTGGTTTGGAAATTTCTTTGAGTGATTTGTTTGGTGATTGGATTGATGGTTTAACTGATTCATAAAACAAACATACATGTGAGAAAGATTTCTTTAGTATGTGTTCGGAATGGGTTGGGACAGACCATCCATTGTTGGGTTGGTATTCATTTTGGGGCCAGTATCGTTGGTTATTATTGATTTCAATTCTTGTATGATGTCCACAGGATTCGATCAAGAGGATGAAGTTGAGTTGATTTACAGTATGAGTCTGGAAAGTTGGCTGAGCCAGAACTTGAAGTCGCAATGTGTTGAGGTTTGAGGAAGAAGTATGTGAATGAGATCATGGGTTTTGAGAGGGACTTCTCGGTTCCTTTTGACTCTCGAGTCTTGGCAGGTCTGTCCTGAGTTCTCTTCATCATCCGAATCACTCAACCCACAAAATCAACTATCAATCAAAAAATGACAGAAAGAAACAAAGTAGTCATTCGACATTTACCACCAGCTTTACCCGAAGAAGTATTCTGGAAAACTCTTTCACCTTGGATCGATCCTATCAACGAATCTACACCTGCTAAATGTTTAGTTACTTATAAATCGTTTATTCCTGGTAAACTAAGACAAAAGTTAATATCACCTTCATTTCACCTTCAACTCTTTTTTTATTTATTTAGAAGAATATGAACTGATCTTCGATTGTTGGATCTGGTTTATAGTAAAGGAAAAATCGATTTACCTTCAAGAGCTTATCTTTATTTTTCAAGTGTTGAAGATTTAGTTGAATTTCATCATGGTTATGCTCAACAAGCTTTTCGTGATAGTAGAGGTAAATTTTATACTTTATCTTTCTTTATCTTTCTTTTCATTTTACATCATGATTGATAAGATACTTTTTTCTCTGTTTGTTTGTGATAGGTAATATTACTGTACCTAAAATCGAATTCGCACCATTTCAAAAGATTCCAACCCAAGTCAAAAAACTAGATCCACGTTGTGGAACCATTGATTCTTGTAAGAAAAAAAACTCTATCAACTAATCTTCAACGAAAAAAAAACCCCTCGAAAACTGTTAACTGAATTTTGATTTTTTTTTTTTTTGAAAAATTCTTTTTTCTTAGCTCAAGATTATCAACTTTTTCTTAAAAAACTTGAATCACCTTTAAATCAAGAAACAGAAGATGATTCAAACCAATCCAATCTAACTGAAGATTCAACCAAACTAGAAATTCCCAAAATCACACCCTTAATCCAACACTTACGATCACTAAGAAAATCAGCACAAGAAGCCACAACGGCTCAAAAACTACAACAACGCAATACAACTACTACTTCAGCTTCCAAAGTTTCTTCTATTAAAGACCCACACGATTTACCTCCTCATCAGCTTATCAAACGAGCACCAACTAGTTCGAATCATCAATCTCTTCCTCTTACTACTAAACCATCTAAATCAAGACCCGTTCCTTCTTCCTTTAAACCATCTAAAGGTAATCCTACGACATCTAATGTACCTAAATCAACGGGAACATCTAGTGTTCCAAAACCATCAGTTATAGATCCAGTAGAACCTAAACCTCAAACAGCTCCTTCGAAACCCAAACGAGGTAAAAGAGCCATCGATCAAGCCTCCCAAAGTAAACCCATAACAGATCCTTCAGGATCCAATAATCCTAAACCGATTCCGATGAAGATCGTCTCAAGACCCAAAGAAATCTTGCTCAAACCTAGTGGATCAGGCTCGGTACCTGTCTCAACTGAAAGTTTTAAGACTTCAAAAGTAGGAAACCAAGAAGTTAATCTTCATCAACCCAATCCAAACTTATCTCAAGAAGGAAAACCTAGTAGTAAGAAACCGTATCCCAAAGGATCTTCATCAACTTCACGACCGAACCCTTCTAAACGAAACCAACCGTCTACCCCAACACTTGGTACGAGTACACCACCCACCGAAACTCGTTCTACAAACGAGACGAAAAGTGCTGCGACTAGTACTACTAATCCTAGAGCTAGGGGAACTGAAGAATCGGCTGGGGCTAGAAGAAGGTTGGGGATGGCTTTAGCTGGGATAGGAGGAACTAATGAACGGAAAAGTTCTAGAAAAGACACACCTAAGAATGTACCTAATCCTTGAGTGTTTTCTTTGGTTTACAATTGGTTTGAATGAGTTTGGAGATTTTGGTTGATAAAAGAATTATGAGTATGCATTATCATTATGATCAACTTGATTGAATTTTTGTATCATCAAGGATCAATAGCTTTATATTTTAGATGAGTGTAAATTTGAATTTGGTTATTGATTATTATTTTGTATTTTTTTTTTGTGAAGGTTTTGTAAGATGAAAATCAAAATTAAAGGTTTTTTTTGATTGGGTTATCTTGCTTTAGATTGTGGTTTTTTTCAAGTATGGTTCAAATCATTAGAAACCAGAATCAAATTGATTTTTGTAAGTTATTTATACTTGAGAAAAGGTAATTTGATTAAGTTGATGATTCATACCTAGTCAGAGGTAGGAAAGTCTGATGTGTGTACTTGGATATTTGAAAAATCAGGGAAACTGAATGTACATATATAAGAGTTGTTTTTTTGTGGAATATAAGCAGCTTGAAAAGTTTGATCTGGGTGTAGATGAAAACCTTGGAGACTTGTTAAACAGAAAGGATGGGGTTTCTTTAATTGAAAGACTTTTGAGAAGATGTACCCATATACATCTGAACATTTAAGAACAAATTCTTGATAATTTGGGATCACAAGGTTTCAAGAAAATCAACTTTTTGATGTGAAAGCATACTTAGAACAGCTTGATGGTTGAAAGAAGGGAAACAATACCTGGTGGTGCTGATGCTCTTTATTTTGAGTCACACCAAAAGGATCCTCCACTCTTCCCCACCTACATACCAAGAACATCAGCATCAGATTCAGAAGGGAATATGATGTGAGTGAGCAAATCAAGTGTCAGAAACTGTGATTCCTCAGAGATCGTGTATGTCACATACCTTTCACATGATCAAACAGCGGTTAGGGTTCTGAGGCATTTTAGCTTTCTTTGACAGTCGAGATCCATTCCTTGGCTACCCGAAAGACTTCATTCCACACTTGACTCACAACATCAAACCGACATCATAGCACGCCACCACCAAATCAAGAAAAAGGATCATAAACTTATCACTTTATCACCTTCAAGATGATCAATTACCTTACTAATCGTTAGTGGTTTATCAAGCTTTTTGTTGATGATGTTTATCCAGATTACTTAGGTTTTGGATTTAATGCTTTTTTAATACTTATCAGTACCTAATCGGATTCCAGAAAAACAAAGAGCATTTCAAGTCAGTTACCCCTTTCTCACTCGTATCAACTCATAAACTTAACTTTATCCATCTTGGCCTTTTGTTTTTTTCTGTAAACTGATCATTCTTTTCATTACAGGCTGATACAAGGCTTGTGCACCAGAAATTACCAAGAGCAAGACTTTATATGGGTTCGTTTGATGTTTAGAAATAAGACTTGAAATCGCTTTCGATCGAGTTTTTTTTTTTCATGTCGATCATCAACACATATATAGACTTACTTTGGTTTCATTTTTTAGGTGTTTATTATACTATCTTTACTTCTTCTATGTTATTTTCGACTTATGGGTTATACAAGTTGATTAAAGTCAGTCATCCAATCTCGCTCTTTTCCTATCACTCGTTCCTATAACCGAGTTGAAAAAAAGATAATCTGATCTAACCTGTTATTTATTTATATCTTTTTCCTCTTTTACTTTTTGTTTGTTTGTTTCGGTTCATGAAATTTTTATTAATCTTGTAAACTCACTCACAACTTGTTTAGGGAAAGAAATGAAGCTTTGATCATGGATGTTATCATGTACTTCATTCTTGATTTTTTCCATTACAAGAGATAAGAAGAAAAGAAATTATGGAGCATGAAGATTGTATTGTGTTGGTTTTGTCTAATGATTAGAATGGGTGGTGTAGTGACTTAATTGAGCGATTTCCTAGTTTTTTCAAAGATTTGGGGAACATGTTGTGGCAGTTGACATACCACAATGGGTGAGTCAATGTTTGGGGGATCAAGTGACATCATACAGGACAGGTGGTATAGTCGTTACCATCAATACCCAACAAGTCTCGGATCAGAATTCCTGGCCAAAATTATGGAGATTTTCATAGGATGAATTCTCATTTCATTCATCTCATTTAGACTGTACAGAGTCAAGGTCATGAACAAAGCCAAGTGAGCTTGTTGACTCGTGTCAACCCCAAGATCCACCCAATCCAATAATGTTCAAAATCCTAAAAAGTTATTGATAAAAGTGAGTTTTGTGTAAATAAGAAACTGCCTACCTATGTACATATTCCGGCTGGAAAACTCTAGAGCTTCATGAAGGCCTTCTGATGCAGTCTTCCAAAGTTCAATTACGCATGAACAAAGTGGCGAACTTCTGATTTTCATCCATGCTGACTTTGACACTGGGTTTTGCAATTTTCTGACCCCTCTTGATGGTGACTACTATACATACAGGGGCCCTTGGTCATAGGAGGTCTTGTGCTTAAAAGTTAAGCCCAATAGTACATGTACTCAGTGCTACCACATCGACTGGGTTGATGGTGTATGCACTAAACTTTGCAAGGGTTATACCACTTCATTTTTGGATGATCAGCTTCCTCAACCTTTAAAAACACATTGAGGGAAATCACAACATTTACACAGTGAGGTTTACCAGAGACGTCCAGTGTCACAAAGTACAATCAAGATCCATAACCTTGAATAAACCTCTTGCAAAAGCATCTGCTGTCATGGAAGAGATTTAAGGAACAAGAGTCTCAGCTCAAAGACTAGAGTTTTTTATTGCTAAAACGCTACACGACCCCAGAGGGTCTGAGTGGATTGCAGTGTGAGAAACAACCAGAGACCACCCACTAAGACTATGACAGTAGATGTAGGAAAAAGAACTATTGATGAAGAGCAACATACAGTTGCAAATAGGGTTGAAGAAGGCATAGAATCCTTAAACAGATAACCAAGGTCACATCATGAGACACAGTACAACAAGTTGACATTAAAAAAGGACAACTAACTGACTGGAACAAGAACCAAAATGGGACAGCCAGAGAATATTGTTAGAATTGTAAGAACTCAAACTGTAAAGTCAAAACAACAAGCTAAGCAAGAATTATAAGTGAAGCAGTGAAGACTAATGACCAAATGCCAGAAGGACAATACCCCCTCTCATGGTGGACCAGAAGGAACATTGACATATATGAATTTGAACTGTAAAGTTGAAGACAACAAGGTTAACAAGAATCATAAGTAGTGAAAACTACACACCAAACACTGGTAGATCAGGTGTGGTACCAAGATATTGGCTTTAAGTCTGCTGGAACACAGGACTGAAAGGGAGCCAACAAAGTTGTATGTTGACTGGGAAATATCTTGGAATACTTGACTCACAAGAGAGGAGACAGGAAACTTAATCTGTTCTCCAAGTGTAGCACCAGATGAAACAGGGTTTAGATAAGAGGCAAACATGTTCATGAGTGGATGGTTACAAATGTAGTTACAATATGCTTTGGGTTCCACTTTGTTGAAACAAGTATGTACCAACTTCAAGGATTTTGAGTTGAAGAAGTAGTAGGACTTTTGATTTCCTCAAGTAGGATTTAGGAGTCTTTTTTGTTGTAAAAACTTTTTCTTTGGGTTCTTTTCTTCCACTTATTCAATCTCATGACCTCTCAGTGTCACGTCAGGAGAATCAGATTGCACGTAAAAGTCCCTACATACGCGGGCTGGGGGTTTTACCGCACATGTGAAGGAGTTTGTTAAGTTTGCGAGTTCATTTACATATATTGATAGGATTTATGAAGAAAGTGAAAAAGTTGAGGAAAACAAATAAGTATGTAGGATTGTACAACCTATGTGTGTACAAAAAAAAAGAAATGAAAAAATGGAAACGAGTACGGGATACAAAGTTGGAATCCGGATTTTTTCCTTACATATGGCTTAATCAACTTGTGCACGAACTTGTGAAACGTCTTCTTTGATTTTTTAATGTAATGTAACTTCTGAAGCTTGACGGGTCATATCATCGACTTCACTGTCTTCACTGTCTTCACTGGCCTCGTTTAATGAAGATAAATATCGAGAGATATCGACGAATTCCAAAGAAAACTCTATGTCATCATCGAGATCTGTATACTCGGTCTGAACTTCAATGACTCTACCATCAGAGAAAGACATTAAGCCAGACTTGCTTTTGTTGATAGGCCACCCGCGTCTACACAACAGCCTTTCATGCTGTTTCCACTCGACATATAGTAAGCCAAACCTGAAGGGACTTTGATTCTTCTTCGTCTTTGGCTTCTTGTCCAAGTGAGGAAATTCTATCCGTCTATAGTCACGGGATCTACCATCATTAGCAACAATTGTTTGAAGACTTGGCCAAACTGGTTGATCTTTTTGAATTCCATTGGTGATGTGAGGAAAGAGGTGATGAGAGAAATTGAAAAAAGTTTCAAAATGTTTCAATTTAGGAGCTTGAGAGATATCATCAAGCAATCTTTGTTCTAATTCTTCTACACAGTGGTCGAAGCTTGTTAAGAGTTGAAGTTCTTCTAAAACTTCAAAATCTTTAACAAATCTTATCTCGGGTTCTTCGACGTCTTTCCAGTTAGCAGGTAAATGATGACCAATGGATAGGGCTAATAGCGTTCGTCGAAAAACGTGGGCGAAAGGAAAGACGGAGAGTCCATGAAGCCATTGGCATTGAGCCACTTTCAAACATTCCAAGGGTGATTTCCAATCGAGTTCGCTCCAGGACTCACGTGGAGCCACAAGACCTTGTAGGTGTAATCTTTTGAGTGTTTTTAAAGAACTGAGCCTCTGTCCAACCGATTTACTCAGTTCATCTTCATTAAAACCAGGAGTCGGACACGGTTCTTCACTATTCCAATCCTTGACTTCGTGCCACGCTCGAACAAGGACAAGGGTTTCAAGATTGGGTAACATTTCAACCGTCTTTGAGATCTCATCCTCAAATCTTGAAGTAGTATCATGTGAAAAGTATTGCAGGGTCTTCAAATTGGTAAAGGTAGAAAAAGTTTGAAGGAATCTCTTCGCATGGATCGCGTAACCAAGAGTTGTTGGCTCGAAGAGTTCTGGATCATGGGTGCGATGACCGAAGCAATCTGGATTGAAGAGATATGGTTCGTAGAGATCAAAAGGGTTCCATTCACCAGTTTTAGGTTTTCCTACTTCCCAACGTACAGTGAGAATGGATTGAGGATTGACTGATTTGATGATCTCATGAATCTCTTTAAGACACACTTTATTCTGGAGGATTTTTTTTGAGATATCGCATTCTTCGTATAAGTTTGCTTTCATTTGTCTCGATTTTCCCCTCTCAGTAGTAAGATCTAAGTTAACATCTATTTCACGAGTATTGTCTTTGATGAGTCGACGATTAGCTGGGTAATGATCATAACATCTGGTGAATGTATCATCAAAAGCAAATTCATAACTGGTTGGTGAATGATGACTATCACTGCTCGATGCCAAATCAGTAAATTCCCATGGTTTATCATCATCACTGGATGATGGATTATAATCATCATTGTTTGATGGATTATAATCATCATTGTTTGATGGATTATAATCATCACTGGTTGATCGATTATGATGATCACTGGTTGGTGGATTATAATCATCATTGTTTGATAGATCATAATGAGATATCATAGAATCATCACTAACCGATCCATCATATCGATAATCCTTAATTGATCCATGATATTGATAATCATCATCAGATCCGGTTGATGAAGCAAGCTGATCACTGGTTGGTCGACGAATTTCACCATAACTTGTGTTTGTTGGTTTATGATACGTACTTTTAATAAGACCCCCGAGATGCGTGTGTAACAAGAGTGTCTGAGGGATTTCAGTCATAACAAAAGGAGTAGAACAAAGAATATTAATTAAATCTGTATTAAGACTTGGATAATGATAGGAGTGTTAGGAAAGATGCTGACCTGGTAGAAAGAGGCGTCTTTATCGGAAGACATGATGCTTATCTATATATGTGTATGAGACTTGATCGAGCTTGGGCAATTGGTTAGAATCCTTTGAAAAAAACTTGTTGAGATTTGTAGAACTGATCGATAGATGAATGGGAAATCGAATAGAATAAGACTATTTTGGATTTTATTGATGCTGACCGAATTTTTGGTAAGGAAAATGCAAAAATTGAAATGCTAAACTAGTGAATTTATTCGAAGAAAAGGTGTGAAAATGTTGTTGGTTGATGAGGGAAACTGATCTGGGTTTTTTTGTGATGATTGGTGATGGAAAAAAATACGATGAAGATTGTTGAGGGAAAAGAAAACCTTCAAGTCAAACGAGCCTTGTTTTATATTCCAAGCTCGATTTATTGCTTTTAACAAATACCTTTTCAGTGCCAGTTGGGACTATCGATGAATACCAAACCCGGCCGTGCTATCCTTTGTGATGGGTTGAATTCTCTTTTGTTTCTATTTGATGGCGAAAAATTGAAGTATTGCTTTTGCCTTGAATCGTCCTTCATCATCCTACTCAGTGTATCTTGAATCAATTGAAATGGTAAACTTTCTAGTCATCTTCACTTTGAGCACATCGATCACTTCTGATTTATAAATACAAATTTCCTATTTCGTTCTGCAATTTTTTGGGGATCGAACACAATTTCCTAACATGGATGTCATGATCTTTCAAACCCACTTTCCTTCAATGCCGATTCCAATGACAATCCTAACGAAGATTGCCATATAAGGTAATCCTTTGAACATTTTTCTGTCATTGAGTCATTTTATCTTACTCAAAACACCCTCTCACTGAGTATCGCAGGTTCATGTGATAAAATGTTGATTTCTTATCCGTCTTCGGACCTCTCGAGAGTACAAGAGCCCAAGACTGGAAATCTCTTGGACTGATAGTGATGAGAACTCGCTTTAGGTCAAATGTTCCAACAACAAAAAGTCGGAAGATTTCGTGACTTTCATTAAACTTGAGGAACCTATATATCAAATCTATGCATGTATATAAGAAAAGAGAAAACAGTTGACATATGTATGCTTAAGAGAGAAAGATGTAATATAAATAGCAAACTGAATAAAATGAAAAGAGACAACGACAACGACAAAAACAAAAATAACCAAAGAATAATGATACACATCAAAGACTGAAAACAAAGGTGAAAGAGAGAGAGAGAACTTGACTTCATACCTAGAGACATGAATGAAAGGATGGCATTCGTATACCAAAAAGAATTAAACTTCTAACCAATTACCCTCTCTCTTCAAATTAATACTTCTCATAACAACCTTTCTTTCTTGATTACTGAACGGGATTGTGAATCCTACAAACTTCACGATGCTTTTGTTTCATTCGAGTTGTTTAATTCAGGTGGAGTTTCTACTAATGATGCTTCAATCATTGCTTGTTCTGGTAGAACAATCACCGGATCTCGATTTAGACTATCTAATTCTTTCTTCAAAGCGTTCAGTTCTTTCTCAAATCTACGACCAAAGACTTCCATATAAAATGCTATAGACCAGAGAGGCACAGGAACAATCAGTGTTCAAAGATCCGAGTTATTCAAGAAGAAATGATTATCATGGATACTGACATGCTCCATTCCATACTGAGACAGCAAACATCACCCAAAGGAATAAGCCTGAAAAGGTCTTTGAATGAAAGGACCAAACCAAAGAAGGCAAGATAGTCAAAAGTGTATAGAGGTACTGAGCGACCATAAACGCATGAGCTCTCCATTCAGGTCGAATAGATTGTAAAAGGCGAGATATAAGTCCAGTACGTGAGTTGAGCAAATAAGTAAAAGAAGTTGTTCGACCTCCTGTTGCTATCTTTTGAGCTCGAGCAATGATCACATATCTGTAATATAGTGTTTGCCAAACTATGTGCACTGTGGAGCAGATTAGAAGAATACGAGGAACGGATATTGTGTCGAGTTCGGCTAAGGCTGGATACCGTTCTGGTGCATTTGGATAGAAGTGTCGAAGTACTGTAAAGACGAGTGCTGGATAGCTTTTGATCGAGGGTCGGATTGAGAATGAGTTGATTAAAGACATCAAAGATGACAGATATATCAGCTAGGCCACCCAGATTTGCAAACAAAGACAAAAAGCGAAACTTCTGATAACGAACATGTGAATGAAGAGCGATGTGACTTTTTCAACGGAATGGAAAACCAACGAGTTCCTCCATGTAGCAATTGCAAAAGCTGATGGACCATGTGCTAACCCATAACAAGCTTGAAACAGTAACACATTCGAAGGCCAAATCCAAAGGAACACTAGACTAAGTCCATTGACCACATAACAAAGATCGAATAGAAAATAATGATATGCTTGTTTTCGATATGTATATATTCGAAGTGGAAGACTGTATAATGAAATTTGAATGAGAAATGATAATCGAGATGAGCTTGTTATAATCTAAAGTAGTTGAGAAGCTAAACGTGGGGACTTAACTAGTAAGCTAGTTGAAGTGTATAGGATAGTGGAATGTATTCTGGCCAAAAAGCTAGCAGTAGAGCAGTTCCCAGTACATTGTTAACGCTAAAGAAAAACGAGACCTTTTCACGTAGGGACACAGCTGAGGTTCATATAACAGGATCAATCGGTCCATTTGATCAGTTTCATTTCTTCAGCTCTGCAGATGCTTTGTAAAAAGATTAAAAAGGATCGGCAACGGACTCTTAGCATCATTCCATGTTCTTTGAATTTGATCACGCCTTAATCTTAATTTTTCTTTAAACTCTCTCAATTCGCGTTCAGCATAATCTCTTAATTCACGTTCACGTTCACTCGAAGTTTTCAGCGCTAATTTTTGAGCTTCACTTAATGCACCCGAAGGAATCGAAAGTAAAGAGAATCCAGAAGAAGCGGTTGGGATTGAATCTGATCGAGTTATAGATTCTGGTTTTTGATGTGAATTAAAGGTAGCTTCTAATGCCAATTGAGCTTCTTTGGCTCTAGCTTTCCATTCTTCTGTGATCGGTTTAGCTCGTGCTTCCCATTCGTGTTTGATTGGATCGATTGTACGGCGACGAAAAAGATCGAGATGTGCATCTAGGGAAACTAGTAAATCGTAAAACGGTAGACCATCTCCGAATATATCTTCTTTCCAATTATTAAATTGACTCGAATGTGAGGCTGGGAATGGTGTGGATGAGCGTGTACTAGTAGAAGTTCGAGTAGCAGATGCCTCAGAGGGCGTAAGTGGTCGAGGATTAGAGGGGCTTGATGATCGAGAATGTGAATCATATGGTTCGGTCTCTGGTTATTATGCAATTATATTAGCTTTTGTCCCACAAGAAGGTCACAAAGAGGACAAGATACTGACCTGAAGCTGGATCAGATTTATAATTCCTTTGACGGAGGTTTTGTGGATGATCCATTTGAAGGCAGATAGAATTGAAAGTGTTGGTTGCGAAGGTAGGTGGTGGTGCGTGAAGGCTACTCACAGTCATCAAGCTCCTTTACACGTAACTACAGTATAACTGCTGTTCTTTTTAATGCATTTCACCTTTCCCTCAACATTTGTGTCATCTTGCTGAAGGAGTTCCGGAAGGCCAGAGCCCCTAAATGGATGTCAGTGCACCAAACAAAAACTTTGAGACAGCCCCAATTATGTACTCAGCAGACATGAAATTCTATGCACGACCAGCGACTTCACATCAAATGTGCCCCTATCGGAACTTTGCCTCTGAATCTCATCAAAGCTTCAGCTCCCACCGCTCAGAAAAAGAAGTTACTGGGTGTTTGCAACGAACTTGATCGGAATCAACGGCTGAGTAACGTGCAAGATTGACACGGCCCCTTAAGATACCGACCAAGTTTGACTCCCTACGTGGTGATATGTCTTTCTGGATAATTATGGCAACGAACGTTTGGTATTGATCATTAATCATCTCACCCACTGTAGCTTTCAACGTGAGACTTACTCAAACCCAATATGTCGCTGGAAATGTCAACCATGGTAAGTACTTACAGCCCTTTGCATGATTGATGACTTCGGAGAAAAAAATACCTTGAGTTTTCAACAAAAAAAACCTCGAGTTTTTTCAAAAAGTGACCGAGTTTTTTTGAAAACCTACTGAGTTTTTCAAAAACTCATTGACATTGTAAATTTCAAGAAAAACTCATTGACTTTTTCAAAAACTCGGTAGTTTTTTGAAAAAACTCAGTCACTTTTTAAAAAAACTCAAGGTTTTTTTTGTTGAAAACTCGAGTTTTTTTCTTCTTCAAAGTCATCAATCATGCAAAGGGCTGTACAAAAATCACAAAGAACAAGACTCAGAAGTACTGAGCCAAATTCCCCAAAGGGATAATTCACATCATGTCCAACAACAAACAACACCCTCTCCTGACTAGGAGTAGTGAAGAAGAGAAGACACCATATCAAAAAATAGCCAGACAGAACAAAAAAGAGTCACTTTTGAGTTTCCAAATAAGTTGAACCATAAACATCTAACACAAACAACCACAAAGGACCAATCTTCCCTCTATTTCCACAAATATAAACAGAAACAGAAACAATAGAACCAAAACCAATTTTACATTTAAGAAAAATAAACCAAAGAACCAATATAATGAGAAAAATGCCTGAACACATGACTTTGACTCTGAGATTCACGAAGTCTTAAAGCTACATGTTCCCTGTCATAAATGCACAACATCTCAGAACTGCACCAGCCAGCTGATTGAATAAAATCCATGGTAGCGCCAGATTGAAGAGGATTGCCAGAGAAATCTTCATCAAATAATTTATGGGAGCGGGATAAAAACCACAAACACATGGGGAAACATCCTTTGAGGTAATGAATAATTGATTACAAGAAAGAAAACAGGAATACATTGAATTCAAATAAGATAACATGATCTTCACAGGACAATCTGGATGATTCTCAAAATATTGAACTATAACCTGTGAACTCTGTATTGCTTTTGGAGCATCCACAGCGCTCCCCCAATTGTGCAGGCTCTTGATGATGTGGGGGGTCAAATAGCCAAAAATTGCTCCAACGGACCTTGCACAATTGGGGGTGAGACATTGAGAGTCTCCAGATTTTGAGCCGGGCCCTCCACATCTGTGGGGTCTAGACTCTGTGAGGTCTAGGCAGGCTCTCAACATTGCATGCAACTGCTTTGACATGACCAATACAGAACACCTGTACAGTCAACCTTGGCAAAAACAACTGCATTGCTCCTCCAATATCTTTGTTCAAGCAAATTTGATTCACTCGACCAAGTTTTTCCCCTAACTTTGGGTACACCACTGTGGGAAATGTGTTTTTTTGACCCCCCACAGAAAATCAGGATTGGGGGTCTGTTTCTGAGCTTTCAAAATTGGGTGACCACTGTGGATGCTCTTAGAATATGGAAGAAGATAATGGATAAATTTTCTGCAATGACATAACCAAAAAAAGAACTCTGCAAAAAAGATTCTTGAATTAAATAGTTTTTGAGAGTCTGGAATATGTTGTCAGTTGAAGTTCACCAAGGCAATAGCGGTACACAAACATGAACACCCAACCTAGAAACCCATGGACAAAACCCATGACAACCTGATTGTTTTTTGGGTTTTGTCCAACGGGGCAGCGGAAAACCAATGGACAAAACCCCCAAAACGATTGGGTTGTCATGGGTTTTGTCCATGATGATGGGTTTTCAGGTTGGGTGTTCAAGTTTATGTACCACTAATGTAAACCTCCAAAACCCACACAGGAAATGGCCAGGAATAAACAATCATTGTGAGTAGAGCCCATTTTAGAAACAGCAAAATGGAGAGAAAAAGGGTAAAGGACTTTTTCATACAACTGGCTTTGAATAATTCTGGATACAGCTTTTTAGAGTAGCTCTAACAATGGCAACTCTTCATTCACATAATATCACTACACCAAAGTGCGTCTTTTCCGTACAGTTTAGAAAATCGTGACTGACATAGAAAAGTATGTACCATCCACATATTCTGGTTTCCTGAATGTAGTGAATCATTCCAATTTAGGAAAGTAGAACAGTACACTTCCAGGTGTATCCTTGTGTCACAGACTGCTTTGAGCGTTATGAGACTCAGTACAAACGTACATTCACAACCCCATGAGTTTACACTACAATCACGCCCGTGAAAGTTCACTCAAGCTTTATGACATTGGGTGTGTATCTTACTGATAATCTGTGATGATCTGGGTTGTAGTCAAAACAACATATTTGCTACAGTTCTAGAAACGCAGAACCTGTAAGATTAGAACTCAGAGCAGAATTCTAAGAAGCAATAATGTTGTTTTTCTGCAATAGCGGTGTAGAAACAAGGGGGATAATAATAATTCCGATGAAAAAGAGTATAAGATCAAGTACAACGGAGATATATAGAATAAAGGTACACAAGTCACAGCAACCTTCAGGACATATTTCAGGTACAACGATTTGTCTTGAACAACTATTGTTTTGTGATCCGGGTAATAGAGGTTTGCAAAACTACTTGTAAAGTGAACTCATGATGAAATATACTACTAAATGTTTAATCTTCAATACCGGGTCTTGAGTAAGCTGCTAGTCACCTTAGTTTCTTCGCGTAACACACAGTTCATGACAAATTCAGATCTAACAACTATCCATATGTATCTTTCCTAAAAATGAGGCCTGAAAAATCTGCGGTTGAGGAGCAGAGAAAGTAGTTGATACAACGGTAACTGGTTGGATTTTGATGTGTAGTCATTTCGAACATTGTGGTATGAACATTATACCTGCAGCTTGGAATGAATTTTGAATAAAAAGATTTGATCAGTTCATTTTATGATAACCACGTTAAAGATAGTATCCATCTCTTACCAGAATGATGTGCGCGACAAAGCGGAAGATTTGAAAGCATTCATTTAAGACGATTCAGGAGGGGAGGGTTTATTTTTGAACGCCAAGTTTCTGGGTTGAGGATCACAAGTTAGAATACTATACAGAAGTCATACCTGGAATCGTAATATCAAAGTTTGTGACTTACTGGTGATATTTCAATAATGCATGAAGGAATCCCACACCTTGAACAATAGAATCAAAGGCCTTCTGGCGAGATTGCAGTTTCGCGGTTGCAGCTTGAAGAGAAAGTTGAAGTTCTTGTCGGTGGCTCTGTGAGATTTCAGAGTCAGATGATTGAAAACCGATCCCCTCGATCTCGGAATGTGAGTTTTGAATGGCGCCAACAGATTTGTGGAGGCCTTCTAGAGCATCTTCATAAACAGAAGAAATGGTCGAGATCTCACTGTCGTTGAGATACTTGTGAATCTTGACAAAGTCTGTAAGGTTGTCCGCTGCAAGACGATGTTGGCCATTCTTAAGGTAGCAGAGAATCAAGCAACCAAACCGGCAAATGCGATGAGAGTCGATAACAGTCCCAGGGGATATCAAGAGCTCGAAGTCTTGTGATCCAACAACTGGAACATCAATCAATGCTGGAATATAGTGTTGATCGGTTCCGAGGGCTTTTGGCATGATTAAAGTATTAAGATGAGGGGCTACCATCTCAAGAAATAGCTTGTGTAGAAGTGATTTATCGTCTTCTGCCCCCGCGCTGAATCTGATATAAGGGCAGAGCAAACGTATGATTTCTAATAATTGAGAGGTTGAAGCTTCACTTAGGAAGAGTTGGGGATCAGGCTTGGAATTGATATCACCCTCACGAAACATAAAGTCGAAGAAATACTTTGGTAGAAAAACACGAGTATGGAATGGATGAACACAATGAGACATCGTTAGAGGAGGGTGGTGTAGGAATTGGCAAGCATGGATCAAGCCAAATCATCTTTGTTTTATATCGTATCAAGATAGGTGGTCGACCGTTAAAGATCACATTATCTCCACCTCCGATTGGTTTTTTCATTCAAGTTGATCACCTCTGACCAAATCTTCCCAAACCTTACAAAGATTATTTTAATTAAAGGACAATCTTTTCTGCATCAGGCAACGCACGAGCACTGATCACAAACACCAATCTCCCATTGAGAACCTTTGTCTAAGGGAAGTCAATCTGATTCGATGCTGTTTGTGCCCCACGTCAGATGAATATCATAAAAGGCATCAAGGAAGTATGATAGAAATAATCAAAGGTTTCATGATTTCATGATTAGATTCCTTCATGATTATTCTGTACCGACTCAGAAAAGGTGTAGTGAACCACCTGACGCTCGGCCAATCAGATAACAAGGGCTTTTGCATACTCAGCCACCATTGATATCTTCTCAGCTTGAGCATATGCCGCATTATTCACCTTCGATGACTGTGAAGAAAGGGCTCCAATTTTTGGACAATGGATAATCATATTGATGTCTGGTATCCACTTGCACCGGCGGCTCTACCTTACATTCAAGGTTGTTGTCATGTTGATGCTCCCATCACAGCTCTGGTTCATCATATCCCCACTATCATTACAATAAACTTGAATAAACGAACTCATCAACATAAAACGAACGACTTTTGAATCTGACCCCCCTTTGGCCTTAATATTTTGTTGCTTTGGCTCAAATCTCAGCTGTTTCATTCAGGTATCTACTTCTTCAACCCGCCGGCCGGCTTTTCCCTTGATCGTGGTCAAAGATTTGTTCTTCCATAGTGGATTATCTTTTCACCATCTTCTCCTCTATCTGCTAGTTAGACTTTCCGTTCAGCTTTTTTAATTCATAAGTTCCTCCATCCGCTGAGCGGATTTCTCTTGTCTCTGTCAATCAACCATACCTCAAAATAGTGTAGTATCTTTGCAGTAGTTTCTCATCTGCTTGTCCGTCACGACTGTACATGGTTGGTGTATGTACTTGTATAATCAATGGCTGAGGGATCCGTGGCAAATCTCAGAAGTCGGGTACTACGCAGTAACACTGCTTCACAAGATATCGAAAAGGATAGAACCAAGTCAAAGAAACGAGCAAAACCAATTGAAGAAGCACCCTTTGAAAGTAAGTTACATATCTTTATACTTGATTCTTTCTCTTTGATCTTTGCTGAAAATTGATAACCTTTCGTGGGCACAGAGGTTGTTGATGATAAGGTGTGTGCGAGTGTTCAGGACGTTGTGAATTCAAAAGCGCCTTCGGAAGCGCCGCGCGGAAACCTCTTGAAGCTGCTGGATCAGCATATCATCAAGAAGAAAGCAAGAACGTCGAAGAAATCTAGCCAGAAAAAGACGGTCAAGCAATCCCGCAGACCCATCAGGGAGAGGCCTCCAATCTCACCTTCCAAAATCGATCATACCTTTGCTCCAAGGCCACAAGACGTGGATTATGATCAATACACTGATCAGCAGCTACGGGAACTGGTTGGTGATGTTGGGCTAGATGCTGACGGGTTACCCAGAACGGAACTTGTCAAGACTTGTAAAACCTACCAAGACTTGAGTAAGTGAACTTTTCAGCTCAGAAGACATGTTGAGGAGCTATAGTACTCACTCACTGGTTAGTTGTTCTACCCCCCGTTTTACCCTCCTTCACATTTAGAAAATCGCGGCACGCACCTTTGGAAGGTAAGTGCTGATACTACTCTGTATGGTTCTTGGCTTACAAGTTTCAAATTATAGGCCGATCGACTCCTGATGAGACCACCGACTCAGGTAAAGGAAACGTGCCTATAGCTGTGCTGGCAGGTACGTAAATTGGCTATATCAGTAAATCCATAGATCAAGCTTATGAGAATCACAAAACTTTCAGATTCAACCTCCGGTCCCAATAGTCTCCCATTACCTTCTTCACCTCCTGACACGCAACCTTCAGATACGAGAGACATTGCACAAA